TGTCACTGTCACGAATGAGACTATTGCAGGTCAAACTCGAGATTGGTGATTCATCAATTGTCAGAGATTCATCACCAAATTGAGAACCAGTGATAATTATATCTTCTTCTCCATTGGTTTTCCACATTACTTTGGAGATTGAATCGATCTTTGGTGCTTTATGATCAATAAAGTCAAGTTGTTCATAAATTTGACCACCAACTTCAATTGAAATATTTTTGTTCAATCCAGATCCTCTGGTTTTAAAAGTAATATATTCTTTTGAATCTTGGATACCACCAGAGATCAATGCGATTGAGACTCCACCAATCTTTAACTTAATGTCGTTTACTGTTGATGTCATGGAGAAAAGATTGCTTCCATAAAGTGTAACCTCTGAACCTACTGTGTTGAATTGTTCAGATGGTCGTGGAGAACTGATTGTTGGTGCATTGTATTGGAATTGGAATGTGTTTGGAAGTCTAAGTAAAGGTTTTTTTGGTGTAGTGATTGAAATCAATTTGGTTCCAAGTCCAGATGGAATTGTACATTGCTTTTGGTGGAGATCATCTTCATTGGTATAGTCACAGTCTTCGAGGTAAATGTCACCAAACTTTACTAGGAGATATTGAAGATTTCGACCTTTGATGATGAGTGTTGTTTCATCTTTGGTGTCACCTGTCAATGGTCCAACGGATAGAATGAATGGATCAACTGGACAACTTTGAAGAAGTTCTCCACTTTCAAACTCAACTTTTGTTGAATGAGTAAAGCTACAGATCTTTCCATCAAACATGACAATTCCAAAACCTTCTTCTGGTTCATTCTCCAATGGAATAAAATAGGTTGAAAGGTGATCTCCATAGGTGATAACTTTTTCTGTTTGAGTTAAAACACCAATCAATTCCGTGATAATATCAAGACCAAGTGGAGTGATCGAAGAGAATGGATAACCTTGGTGCATTGGAATATTACAGTAATATCTATCTCGAATACCAATTTGATACTTCAAATATTGTGAACTACGTAAATATCTGTTCAACGGAGATTCATAAATCGCCTTCCAAATAACATTGGATGATAATTGATGTTCATCAAATTGAACCCATTTTCCAACAGTTTCATAAAGTTTACTGAGTGAAAGTGTTTGGAAATTCGATTCACAAACTTGAAATCTTCCTAATATCTCATAAATTGGGTCTGTTGGTGGATTTGTTGGACTCTGAAAATTAAAAAGTTTGATTGTTAGAATGATATTCATAAAATAATAAATTAAATATTACTTACATCCAAACAGAAATTACATTTGTAAATATAATTTAAATTCATGACACGATCTAAGTTGTCAAAAATCATTGTTGTGTCGATGACAGAACTCTGAATCTTTGACTTTAGAACATCGATGACTGTGAATATATCGGATGGAACATTCTCTTTGATGATCTCTTTGATCAGTGGGAATGATAAGGAATCTAATCCACTGGTAAAGCTATCTTGGTAGAATATCTCATCTTGATCAGCTTGGTTATCGATGATATCCCAAAGGAATGATGCAATGAGTCCTGAAGAACGAGCAACTGGTTGAACAACTCCATTCTTTTGATAGATTTCAAGTGAAACAGGTGAATCACAATGAATGATTTGCTTTATATCTGATCTCAGATATGGGAAAATATCCTGTTAATTTTGAAAAATAAAATATTATAATAAAAATAAATAAATAAAAATAAATAAATAAAAATAAATAAATAAAATAAATTTAAAAATTAAATGAAAAATAAAAAAATAAGAAAGAAATAATCAAAATAAATTAAATAAAAAATAAATAAATAAAATAAAAAAATAGTTAGTAAGATATTTTGATTTAACGATCAATCAAAAAAATATAAAAAGAGCGGGGTTTTTCATTCTTACCTGTTTGAATTTGAGCGCGAAAGAATAAATCAATGCTTTTCTTATTGCCAATTGTTCATCTGATTCTTTTTGTTGAATTCGATCATTAATATTTAGAGAATCTAATTTATAGTTATTATTTAATGATGTTATATAGTGATAAGAATATGAAAGGAACAAATCATCAATACACAAGTTATCGATTTGTATTCCATAGTTGTTGTTATCGTTGATTATTGCTGTGTGTTGATTATTAATTTTAACTGTAATTTGTGGTTGTGTGAAAGTGCTATCAGTGTTGACAATTGGATACAAATCTACCAACATTTGTAAAGTACGATAAAACATTAATACATTTGTATCGTAAGTACTGACAGTCTCTGGTGAAAATAGATTGTCTTGATACTTTAGAATGGTAGAGTATACAATGTATTCAGAGTCTTCAGAATAGTATTGAATACTAATACCTCTCTTATTATCTTTCAGATACAATCTAATCTCAGGAGTGTAATACTTGACAATGTCAACAGAAGCAAATTCATTGGTTTGATATTCAAAGATACCACAATCACCCTGACATAACGGATCGGAAGCAGGCACAACAGTCAATTCAGTATCAGGAAGACTTGAATCGAATGGAGTACGAGAAAGGAGTGAACCGATATTGGTACTGACAGTGTTGACTTGGAATCTAACTTGACCTTTTCCATTGAAATCACTCTGCAGTTTAGTCTCACAATCAAGTGACGAGCAAATACTTGATCTAAGTTTGTAGGCAGTATTGATTAGGAAAGTATTGGCAGCACTCGAGGTAACAACACACACAAACGAGGCAGGTGATGAAGACAAAGTTGGATGGTAATCACCAAGACATATTCTGAGTTTGTCAAATGCAAATCCTGGTGCCTCGACATCTGATATCCAATGTCTACTCTCCAAAGGTATGTTGTATTGATTTGAAAAATCAATTGGCAATCTATTCTCGACCAAACTACTAAAACTAGCAGTGGCAACGGCATCTCTCTAATTAATACAATAGAATCATTAGTATTTATATTTATATTAACTTTGTTACAGTGTAATTCAATATCATCTATTTACTTACAGGAACGGTAGTGTATCCAAAGAAAGATTGCCAAGCACTTGATTGTAAACCACTGTGGATTTCAATAGTTGGGCTGATGTACTGTTTGGCTGAGGAATCAACGATTGATCCTTCAAATATATTATTCAAGAATCTTAGATTTCTTTCACTGAATGTGTTAAAATAAATCTTTGGAACCAATGGCACTAAAGTATTAAAAAATGCAGTCATCTCTAAATCGCTAAGGCCGATAAGAGTATGACATAAAAATGAATGACCGATATTCAAATTAATCGATTGTTCATCAGCCAAATGGTAGTCTTGAGGGAACCACTTTCCTGGATAGCTTGAAGGCATTGCAACCTCATTATTAGTGGGCAAAATAGCAGGAAAACCAGGCATAGTGTGTTTTACGTGAATTCCATTTCCAGAACTGGTAAGTGCAACAAATCCTTTGGATGTACCATACTGATCAGGTTGCCACTGGCCATTTAGAGGTGTCTCTTGATTTCCATTTTTGTCACCAAACTGCCAAGGCTTGTCATTGAACATCAAAACTTCATTGTTTTTGATACTCTCAAGCGTTCTTCCAAGTGCACTTTCAGCCAGAGTGATATCACTAAGAAAAATTACATTATGCTCGTCCATGTACAAATATGCATTGGTTAATGGTAGTTTTTTGATATACCACCATTGCACATTATTGTTGTCAGGTGACAAACAACTTGGAATAGCTGTAATAAAAGAAATATTATTACAAATAAATATAATTAATATATAAATATATAAATATTTATTCTTCATATTTTTTTTAAATAATAGTATTATTATTAATTTTAATAAAATTTTACATGTGATTAGATACCCAGATGAAACTCGTCCAATCAATCACTCGTTTCAAACTAATAAAAAAATTTATTAATTTTTTTTTGAAAAACTATTATACAAAAGCTAGATATTTAGCGATCACGGTTTGTCTCTCAACGGAATCATTTTACTTCTGATGGCCTAATGTTAAATACAAGTGCAAAGTGTAAACTAGCTCTTGGGGCCTGTAACCCAAATAAAATAAATACACCAACCCTTGGTTTTTTTATTTTGGAGTAATTCTTTTTTTTAAAAGATCCTTGTAGTTCTTTTAATCCAAATCATAGTGTATATTAACGATATACAGAGGGAAGATAGTTTTGATTGGTAACCTCAAACATGAATTAATTACTTAACGCCGAAAAAAAAATTGTAATTTTGTACGTAAGTTTGCATTATTATGGATTCCTAAAAAAAGTTTTATGAAAATTTTGATGCGAGTTTTGTAACACATAACGAGTGAAAATGTGCCTGTTTTTAGTGGGGGTCCAAAATTTTTTAATGTGATAACTGTACTTCCCTCATTTGCAAACTTTGTGAAAAACTGTGAAACAACATGGTTCAAAGTATAGAGTAAAAACGTTTTGACTTATAGAAGGATGTGAAGGAGAGATTATATTAAGATTTCGTGTAATGACAACACAAGAATTAAGATCTTTCTGATGTTGTTGTTTTTCACAGAGTTTACAAATGAGGGAAGTAAAGTTGGCTCATTAAAACTTCGTCAATCAATATGCAAATAAAAATTTGATATTTTTATGATAAACGAAAGTAAAATGATCTTGAAAAAAATCTTTAATCATTCTATAACGAGATGAAAAAGGATGCATATTGATCAATTTTTTTTTTTTGTTTACAAAAACGAGATTCCTAAAAATCTTGAATCTTTTTTTGCGATCAAACCTTTACCACAGAGCATACTTTTTTGGTTTTTTGATTGATCCCTCATTCTTTTCATTAACCGAATAAACCTTTGCTACAACTTTTAGGGAATGGGATTCAATTCAATACTATTATAATCTTATTTTTCACTGGTTAATCGCCTGAATCAATTTGGTCAATAGTTAACCAATCACTCGTTTTAAAAATAAAATAGTTTTTTAATCATTTACAAATCTTCATTATATAATAATATATAAAAATAATTCAAATAATTCTATATATTATAAAATAAAAGATGAAAGAAATAATAATATTATTATTTTTATCATTTATCGTTATTGTTTGGACAACTGATCAGGTAAAATTCGAATTTGATAATGAAATCTATCAAGATGGTTTTAGGGTATCGATCAAACTTCCAGATGGATATTCTTTTGACAAGGATAAATTCAAGGTTACTGCTGAAGATGGAACTAATGTTAAACCATGTACTTTTGTTGAAAGAGTTGGTACTAATGTAGTTTACAAAATTCCAAATCTGAGAGTAGTATTTGACATTGATGATGATGATGATGATGGTAGTGATGGTAGTGATGGTATGGTTGGTAGTGATGGTAGTGATGGTAGTGATGATCGTCCTAAGTCAACCCGTCCACTCAAACGAGGTAAATCATCAATTACCAATAGTTACTCTCTTGTCATCTTGGATCAATCAACAATGAACCCACCACAATCCTTTTTATTGCAATTCACAAGTATGTATATATCTTATTATTCAAAAATGTGTTGAAAATGATTTTCTAATATTTCAAATTTTTTACTCAATAAAGATCCTTCTATCATTTATGATGATCTTGTGATTCTAGAAGGAACAAAAACCTTCAAGTTTAAAGGTTATTCTCTCCATTTTCCAAACTATGCTCCAAAGATAACTCTAGTCCGTATTCCCCAAGGTGTACCAGTTGTCAAGTTTGAATGTTTAATCACGGCAGTCATTTCAAAAGATGAAATCGAATGTACCACCACTCAAGTAGTTCCATTTGGTAGTTATTTTTTTAATTTTGAATATGCTGATTCGCACAACAGAAATTTTCCATTCACAATCACAGCACTTCGTAAGTTCACCAAATTTGATTAAATTATTTTTTTTAATTTTAATTTTAATTATTTTTTTTTATAATTTTTTAGCAAAAATCATCCCAACAACAGAACTCTCTTTAAACTCACATCTATCATATGATGACATTATTATCAAGACTGATTCATTCATTTCAAGTTTTAAAAAAGATCAAGTTGAAGTGAACTTTATTAATGAAGATCAATCTAAAACTGTAAAGTGTACTGTTAAAGAACTTTTGAAAGATGATAATCAAATCAAATGCTCTTTAGATGTCCCAACCAACTTCCCTTCAGGTATTGTCAATGCTTACGTCAATGTACTTGGTAAAACAATCACTGGTTCACAAAAGTATAACTTTTTTGGTAATTATCAAATTGTTTTATAGATTAAAGAATCTTTTAAATGATCGCTTTATTTACAACTCTGTGTTTCTCTCTTCTTTTTTATTTATTAGTTCCGAGTTTCCCAAGTATGGGACTTGATATTTCGGGTCCTATGACAGGAGATGTAAAGTTTGTGATTGATGGTGAGCATCTTGACCCATCTGGATCTGTTTTCATTGGTACAAGTGATATAAAACTGGTGTGTCAATATAAAGCAGCTGTACCACCATCGACATGGGACCAATACGAATGTCTTTCACACTTGTATTTCCCAGATGCTACAAATCCACCTGTTTGGGAGTATAAAATCAATACAAAGATGTATGGAAGAGACTACCCAACTGAATATACCTATATATTTAATTGTATGTAAAGTTTAGATTATCTTTCTTAAAGAGTCAATATCTAATTTAATCTTTTAATTTCATACAGATCCTAAATTTGATTTGACACCAACTCAATCGATTAAGATTATCAATATCGGACATTCAATAAGTACACTCAAAGGTAAAAACTTGGAAATCATAAACAAGATTACATTGAATGATATCGCTTTGAATACCAATGACTTCCAGATTGTAGACAATACTCTTTCAATTGAAATTGTTAGTACTGCATTGGTTGGTGATCAAACAATCAAATTCTTTGTTGAGAAGAGTCTAACCTCGAATGATGGAACTGTCGTTGAACATTCATATCAAGTTAAACCCGATATTGAAATGAAATTACTTGGTAACTATCATCAATCAGTTATAAATATTATTGATAAATTGATTATTAATGATCTATAATAGCACCGACAATCAAGGCCAAAGATGATAATACACTTTCATTTTACTTCTTGGATGACGCAACCAGTAAATCAATTATCTTTGATCTCACAGATTTCCCAGAGAAACAAGATTATTTGATTAAAATTGGAACCTACAATAAAATTGGAACCTACAACTTGAATTGTGCTCCAGAAACAACTTCTGCACCAACTCCAATTAAATGTAGTGGTATCCAAGATTTATCATTGAGCAATCTACCAACTGAATTCCCGATTTCAATTGTATTTGATCCAAACAATGCCAAACCAGGTTTTATCAAGACAATTGATTCCACTCTCAAATTCAAATACACTGGTAACTATCATATAATCATTTATTTATTATTGTTTCACAAAACTAATTTATTTCAATTCAGGACTTGTATTTGATGTTCAAAGTCTCTTTGCTAATGATATCCAAAGTACTTATGGAGGATACTTTAGAATGCTAAATGGAGAGGAACTTAATCGTATTGAATCTCTTTCAATTGGTGATGCACCACTACCTATTGACCATGTTCTAACTATCAGAAGAGATGGAATTGCCGACGATTTATTTGTAACTGGAAGAGTATTAAACTATGACACTGCAACCCAGAGAATGAGAATGCTCATCGATAAACAAACTGTTAATTATTCAGAAGATCTATTCACGGTGTCGTTCGTTGGTGTTTATAGTAGCCATACTGCAAATACAGTTACAATGTTTGAGGTAGATCCTCTTACTCATGAAGAGCTTATAACCAACTATGTTGTAGATGGTATATATGTTGGTCATGTCGATTCGATTTGCACTATTGTGGTCAATGGAGATTTCGACTACAATACATTTACTCTCACAATTGGAAATGAGGAGTATGAAATCGACAAAGCCAAGAGAGTAAAACCAGTCTACTCAATCACATCAAGTACTCTTGGATTAGATCCAACAACAAACACATTCCCACCCAATCCACCAAGAGAATTCATTGAAATCGAAGTGATTGGTGTCACTTTTACCAACAATGAAATTACTTTCCCTTCAGAACATTCATTCACAGTGAGTGCTGATCTTGAGAATATCAAAGAAAGTGGATGCCTTCTCATCAATCCAACAGCTCCACTCAAACAATCGATGATATGTTCACTCCCAGAACCAAAGACCACTGATTTAAACAAAAGAGCACTTCGATACACCGTTGGAGGCAGAACAATCACCAATCAAATTCTTCAATTTAAAGTTCCGAGAATCATCAATGCAACACCATTATTTGGTTCAAAATATAATGATGATCGATTGACGATTTCCTATACCAAAGGTGACTCAACAGCTGTTCAAATCAGACTTGTTAAACTTTCTGGTGTGACGATTGCTCTCACTTCTTGTCACCCCGAGACTGCACTTGGTAATAATCAGTTCCAAATGTCATGTAACAAAACAGCAGGTCAAGCAAGTGGAAAATATTTGAGTTCGGTAAGTATTCGATCCAACTCTATCCGCTTATTCATTGGAGAGAATTTATTTCAATAACTATGGTAACTATCAAAATGATGATCAATCTTTTAGTTTTTTTAAACTAATATCATTTCTTTTTTTGAATAGGTATTTCATGCTTGGGACAAGCAAATGGACCAATTAATCAATATAATAATAAACCAGTTTCATGGTGGTTCACTTATAAATTACAACACACAGCCAAATATTTTAACCAAGATACAACCAACAGTTATTTATACACCGATGAATCAATGGATAGTATGATTATGAGGGATCATCTCACACCAGAAGGAGATTATGTAAAAAATCCAGATAAAAATTATAATATCGACCTAAACCAAAAACTTTCACCACTTGCAGCCACCTTTAAACAATTGAGTACAACCAACTCCTACTATTACGTGTATGTATATTCATTACCAAAACAAGCTATAAATGATTCAAAATTATTAATGAATGAGAAATCTTTTGAACTCATCCAGTTGGAACGACCAAACAGGTAAAAGAACAGAAACAGGTGGAAGAGGAGACATAGATTCTGCATCTCTATTTGCTCATTCCAAAGGATTTGTTATTTATGATATCGAGGATGGTGTTGCCAAAGGAATTCATGTCACACATACAAATCCACTTTTTCCCACAAAAAAAACAGATTTCTATGAACATTTCACTCAAACCGGTGTTAATCTATACAAGTGGCTTGGTAAAGCAGATCCAGGACAGAATTTCTTTTGTTACAACTTTGAAGATCTCTCTGATGTTATTGATACAATGGTGAAAAACAAGGTATATATGAGTAACCACCAAAATGGACAAAGAATACCAGCGAACACAGTCATGTGTCGTGGAAATATTCCATGTGTTGACCTCTATAGAATCACCAATGTACCTACATTTAATACTAGATCTCAATTCTATACAACTGTAAGCAATTCATTTGAATGTATATTTATTTTTTTTATATTAAATAATCAATTCTTCAACTTTAGCAATGTACCAATAGAATACAAGCAATCTATGATCAAAGATGGACAGAAATCGAGGATGACAGGGATGATGACTTCATGGAAAGGTTACAAGATAATGATTTGACTGATATTGAAATTGAAGAATTAAATGATGATTTTCCAATTCAAAGATATCAAAATTTACAGGATCATTGCTATTGGATGATTGAACATAGAATCAAAGGTCTTCAAAAACCATTAATTTCCAAAGTCATCAAATCATTCGCTAAAACTAATATTGAAATTCCAGCTTTGGAAAAAAATATTTTGTCAATAAGAGGTAGACATAATTATAAATTCATCAATCCATTATTACCTTGGGAGCTAGTCCAAAAACCGGGAACACCACAATTTGACGGTGTTGATATTTATGAAGTTATTGCTTCAGTTTACTATAAAAGAAAATTCTTTGTCGCCACTTATCACAGTAAGTACTACATTCCAAGTCAATACAATGCAAAAGAGCTAACAATAAATATCCATTCCGATTTTAGTGGGAGGTGCTCAGATACCTTTGTACCAAGTTGCAACCCTTGCTCAAGTTGGTTTTCTTCGTAAGTTGACCAAAAATTATAAATCACTTTTACGATGCAATCATTAACACTTTAAATAGAATTAACCTCTGAACTCTTGGTAAGAAGAGATGCACTTGGAACTCCTGTCACACCAGCAAATGATTGGCCAAACCTATCTTTTTCAGGATATAAACAAGATCACTCGAAATTTATGATCGACATGTTCCCATATGATGTTCCAAATCCAACAATTTGTTTTGGAGAATCAAATCGACATTCACTCCAGGTATGACTGATTCTTTTAATTAAACTGATATTAAGTTCACTAACATTAATAATTTAATGATGTAGCCACATAGAGGTGGAGGTTGCACATGTTTTGAAGACGAAAAACTTTCACGTGAGATGCATAGTTTTATTAGATCATATTCAGTCAAAATTGCAGGTACAGATGAGAGTGAAAACTATAAACATCGTAGTAGAGTTATTTCACATTTAGTTGATCAAATAATTAGGATCAATGTTCCAAACTTTGATGGTCAAGTTCAACTTTTAGTCAAGAAAGGAAACGGACATCACTTTATCCCTGAAATTCCTTTACAAACACTCACAATCACCGCGGCCACCCCAACTCACGATATCACGAGACAAATCAGAATTGTAAGAACAACATCACCATATACAACAGATGCTCAGAACACAAATGAAGAGGAAGTCTCCCAACTTAAACCATATGTATCAAGTTACCTATGGACACCAATAACACCACTCCAATCCAGGTCATTGAAGACTTATAGTGAACCAACACATTTAACAGTTGAATACAAAGCATTAGATGTTACTGGAGCAACCATCACTTCAATCAATACACTTCATACATGTACCAACGATCGAACAGCTCAGATATCAAATGAGGTCAGACAATGTCTTGATCAAAAGCTGAACCTCAATTATCACCTATACTGGAGCCAACGCAGTCTTTGTTGACAATCAACCAACTCAATTAAACGGAAATAGTGATGCAAGACGTTCCAATCCCCAAGCAAACACAAGAATATATGATTTGACTGAAACAACCAATATTGAATTTAGAACAATTGCTTTCACCAAAAAGTTCCAAACTGCTATGGGAGATACATCAAGATACAATATCATCATTGATCCAACACTCAGCACAGCATCTCAATATAGATATCCATATATTTATTCACAAACTTCGAATATTCCAGATGATTTAGTATTGGTTTACTATCTATTGACTCAAAGATTAATGAGTGTTACTAGATACCCAACGATTTCAGACAACAATGATCAATTGGGAAATGCTGTATTATTGGTTGCATCGAAATTCATTCATATGAGAATGATAACTCCAACCAACATTGCTACTCCTCCACTTCCAACACCAGATCTTTTAGGCATTACTTTTACAATTCCAATTAAATCCAAGAATACAATCAACACACTACCGTAAGTTAATGATGAATTTAATTGAACTTTCAATTTAATCCAAATTCTAACCAAATCTTTTCAATTAGTGATGTAAATGATAATGAATTTACCAAAGTTACCTATTTGTTCTGGAAATTGATGTCTCAAAGCACCAATCCTTTGACATATGCTCTACTTTTCTCAGATCTATCAACATTCCAACTTACATCAGCAGTCGATGTTTATGATAAGTTCAAAACTAGAATTGTTCCAGCAGATCCAGCAATTGAGAATTTATTCAGACCCGCTACCAACAATAATAACAATAATAATGGAGGATCTTCAAATTCACGTTCATTCAAACTTCAATCTCAAATCAAACATGCAAGTTCATCACTTTTAGTTTCACTTTTACAATCGAATCATTTCAAATCAAATGAAATATTTGAATTGGATACTCTTGAAACTGAACAATTGACAGAATCATTGGATATGTGGCTTGAAAACAGAATGATCTCGACACTCCTCGGATCATCACGTTCCAACGAAGTCAAATATCTCCAAGAAAGATTTAGATTCTTTTTGACAAATGAAATATGTCCACAATATTCACCAACCTCAATTACACATTATGAAATTTGCAGACCAATGTCGATTGTTGAATTCACCAACATTATCAAACACACACAATTATCTACAAAATCAATCAAATATTCTTTTGGCGAGCTCGAATATTATTATTCAGCATATCCATCAACTTTCCAATCGATCTTTTTGGATAAGACAACATTTGATGGTATTTTAATTGCCACAATCAATTCGAAACTATGTGATTTCAAACTTGTCAAACAAACAGAACTCAGCAATATTGAATCAATCGATATCTGTAGAATTCCAATAATCAACAACATCATACCAACATCGAATAGTATTATTACGATCAGTGGAACTCATTTCGATTCATCCACCCAAGTTACAATTTCCAATGGATATCGATGCATTTCAAAACAACTTCTCAACAGTACAAACATGCTTTGTGAATTACCAAAACTAAACGATATCAATAATATTATTAAACTTGATAATTCAATCAATGATCATTCATTCTATGTCACCAACAAATGTCCAATCATCAATGAAGTTGATGTAGGAACAACAAACAAACTTCTTTCAGTATCAGGTGGTGATATCGTTGAAATTAAAGGAATGTTCTTTGGTTCATCATTCTCTGATATTCAAGCATTTATTGGTCACCAAGAGTGTTTCATCATTAAAATTCAAGAGTCTTCAATCACCTGTATAACACCTTCATACACTGGTCAGAATATCCCGATTGGAATTCAACTTAGAAATTGTCCATTTGTTCAATCAATCGATAATAATCAAAGAGTATCATATGAATCACCAGTTATCCTCTCGGTTATTCCAAGCGACCCATTGTTAACATTCCCAGGAGATTCTATCTTGATCAATGGAAAATCATTTGGAACAATTGAAAACACCAAACTATTCATCTTTGACAAAGAATATCCATTTGAATTATTCAGTTCCGAAACATTAAGAATCACTATTCCAGATGATATGTTGATTCCAACAAAACAAATTCCATTAAAAGTTAAAGTTGGAAATTCGATTGCCACCTCATCATTCAGTTTATCAAGAGGTTACTTCATCCCAACAACATCACCGATGATTGTTCCAACGAAAGGATGGTATGTAATTTTTGATGGTGATTCATTTGGAATATCATCGAGTGAACTTGACAATATCAAATTGAGTAATGGTGTCAAGCTTATTGGATGTCACCGTTATCAATTCTTTATTGAATGTTTGGTTCCACCTGGAATTGGTGCAGATTATTCAGTTAGTGCAACAATTAACTCAATCAATATTGTTTCACCATTGAAATATATTTCCTATGAAGTACCAACCATTGGAAACTATGTAAACTCTGGAAATACATTTACAATCTTTGGTAAAAACTTTGTTCCAAAAGGAGTTGCACCAGCAACATCCAATATCTACTTTAGTAATAATCAAATTGATTGGAAGCCATGTTTAAGTCCAGTTTTTAGCGATGAAAGTACAATCAATTGCAATGAAATGCCTGCACTTAGTACCAACCAAATTTATGCTTATGTTGACATTGGAAATCAAAAATCAAACACAATTATGGCAAAAGTTACGTTTGTACATGGTTATGTTTATTTGGACAAGAATTTTAATAATGTTAGAGATTCTAGTGAACAAGTATTCACAAACTGCAAAGTTACCTTGTCTGTTAACTCTGTTGCCAAATATGTTGCATCTTGTGATTCCAATGGATACTATTCATTTGCATCACTTGATGCACCTGCAACTTATGAAATTACATCAACTATCAACAGTCCAACCAAATATTTCGTTGTGGTTTCTTCACATTTCTTTGATATTCTCAAAGATCAAATCATCCAAAGAGATATTAGTGTTATTGAAGACACAGGATACAATTGTTTCGCAACATTAACAACTTTTCAATCTTCAACAATGGTATTACCATATGGTGAGTATGACCTTTTATCATATGAAATGTGTCAATCACCACCCAGTACTTGTAAATTCCAGGTTTCCTCAATTGTAACTATTTAATTCAACAAAATTTTATTAAATTTGAAAACACTAATTTATTTTTTCTATAAAGACTACCAATGGTAATGATTGTGCAGCTACTCTCACTGGAACCAAACTATCTATCTCATATTGTAAGTAATAACATGTCCATTTAGGATATTGATAGAATTATACTAACCAAAAATTATTTAATAGCATCTATTGTCTCATTGAATCTAAAATTAGATTACTTGGTCCCACCAAATTATACTACTACTGTGTACCCTGATTCATTAGCTTTTGCAGAGATTAAATTTACCTACCTTCAAAAGGATTACTTATTCAAACAATACAATAGGAATGGTCAAATTTTATTTAAATTACCAGTTGGAATCACTGGTGTCGTCAATATCCAAACTCAGAATCAAAATACATGGCCAATCATCAACAATTTTGAAGTTCTATCACCAACAACAAAGACTCTCCCAATGTACTCTGGAATATTCCCAACAGTTAACTTTTATGAAAAACCAAACAAATTGGGTTCATCACTCACATTACCTGTGGGATATTACACTCAGGGAGATCTCACTCATATTGGATGGTCCAAAATTGTTCAATCATTGGTTGTCCCAGAGAAATGTGTTCTCAATACCAATCTTATTTTTAATCCAGGATATTCCTCTGTGAATATACAACTTACTAAATTTGATCTTTCTTATCAAAGTAAATACCGATAAATCAAAAATCCCAAAAATATTTTATATTCTAATAATCTTTATATTTATAAACAGCAATGTTTGATAGAATTAGTTTTGCAGGTGGATACCATAATATTCTTAATCAATATCCAAATCCCTCACTTATTAAATACTACATCGGAAGTAAGTAATCGACATATATTAATTATCTTTAAATCGATTTACTAATATTCAATTTACAAATAGGTGAAAATTTGAAATGTACTCAAACCCAATGTTACTTCAAATCTGATATTGGTACCAAAACACTTACCATCAAGTACAACGATGCTCAAATATCAAAAACATATTCCATTCAATACACATCACCATATGGCGATGAAGGACAATATCCAACCCTCGATTCACAGTCTGCAACTAAAAATGTTTTGAAATTGAATGAAAATCTCCAAATTCAATCTGGATCATCTATTACCTCACAAATATCATTGACTTCAAGTGGTTTGACAATTTCATCGATGGGAACCACTCTTTTCTCTGTGTCATCATCTCTTTACCTTTCAAGCAGTTGCAATGGAGAGGACCGACTTTTCATTCAACCCGATGGTAATCTCTGCATTAACAATGTTATCTCTGATAAATCATGTCCCAGATGGTGTCTCTCTAGTCACCACTCTAGAGCTAGATACCTCAAATTAATTCCATATGGTGTTGTTCTCCAAAATGCCAATGGACAAATTGTTTGGTTCAAATATCATTCTTCTTATATCAACAATCTTGCAGGTACCGAGTTTAAGAAAAACTTTGTCAATCCATTGGTTTATGCACCAAACTTCCTTGACAATACAGGATCAAATAATGTACTCTATTCTTGGCAGTCGGAGTACCTTCCAAGTGTTCTCACCAATGGTGTCCACTATTTGATAATGGACAAAAACCAATGTCAACTCAAGATATATGACAACGTCCAGATAAGTGGTAATCCAATATACACATCAGATTATACCAACATATTATTACCTAATGTTCCAACAACAAATTGCAAGTTGGTTTTTGGTACTGATGGAAATCTTTGTGCACAAATACCTAGTGGACAAGTTTCATGGTGTACATATTCGCATAAGCTTGATGGAAGATACTTTGGATTGGCACCTGCCTTTACAACAACTCAAATTGGTTTCTATGTCCTCAATTCCAAAGGTAGAATGGTGTACGGTAGATTCACATCACTACAAGAAAGATCAAACCTGAAGATGATCCCAGGAAGTTTCATTGTTGCAAACAATCAAGAGTATTATCCAGAGACTGAAGATAGAATTATCAATGAAGGAGGTGTTTTGACAAATGGAAAATCATATATCAGATTGGAGAGTAACGGTCAACTTGCTGTATATGACTCGAATCCATATAATGCAGTTACACAACCAATAGTACTCTGGAGATCAGATTTACCAGCTGTTGCACCGACAAGACCATTCTATGCTCAACTTGAATCCACTGGTATTGTTGTGGTTGGTGCCAACGTTCGTTACTTAGCAGGCAAACTAAATGTTGCAAGTGCAACCGCATTCCAAATGAATTGGATGGGTTCCACTCGTTCTGATGATTGGGGATTCTCTTTCATCAAGGATACAAAGATTATTGATGGATACTTGTCAAAACCTGGAGTATGGTCAAACTACCAACAAATCGAAAATAATCCTCTAAAGAATTTTACAAATGCATACTTCGGTTTCAATTGGAATGACCAAACTGGAATTATTGCAGCAAAAGACTTTAAAACAGGTGAAGTTCTATGGACAAGTCCAACCACCAACATACCACCAAAACTATGTGGAAGATATTATGCTGATTTTGGTATTTACTTTACTCCAGCTATGCCTAGTCTTTGTGTGTATTCTTCTACTGTAGCTAGTTCGTGTACATTTCTATCGTATTGGTGTCAAAAGTTCCCACTTACAACCTACTACATTCAAGCACCATCTGGTGTTCCTGAATTCATTGCTACCAACATCGATGGAAGAATCACTTGGACTGCAAACTCTATAAAATATTTACAACTCACTAAATAATAATAATATTTTATTATTATTAACAAAACATTTAAAAATAAATTAATAAAAATCAAAAATTATCAAATCGTCTTGAGTTTGTTATCTATTCCACAAAGATTCTAAAAAGTTTAAATTGTTCTCAATAATTCCAGTTTGGTCATTCCAATTGAAACCGTATTGAGAAGTATTAGGATAGAATAATTCTGAGATTAGATAAATTTTTTTAAACTCGAATGCTATTCGTATTTTCTGGCGATTTTCTAAAACAGGGTTTTACATCAATATAGATGTAAAACCAATAAACCCCCACACCTGACTAGACATAGCGAAACAGGACGGCTGAGGTTTTAATATAAAAAAAGCAAAAAAAAATGAAAAATCGAATTAAATTTTATTTATTTCGATTTTTCATTGGTAAAACTCAACGACTATTCAAAAAACGAACGATCAACTTTACTATTCAAGTTCTTACACTAACTTTGAATAGGTATGATCAATTTATATTTAATAAACGTAAAACAAGTTCTTACACTAACTTTGAATAGACTTTGAATTATTTGAGTTGATAATTAATAAATAAATAGACTGATCATCTACCTATTTATTAAATGAACCTTCTTTTTTTTTTTTATATAACTAATGTGGTATACATGTTTTATTTAAAGTGATTGAAAGAGGTATTTAAAATTGGAGAAGGAGGGTTGTACCGCTCAATTGAACGCTGTAATTTTGATTAATATTCCACCGGTTTACTTTCATGCTTGATTTATCCTTAAAAAGATGTATTTGATCCACGTCATACGATTCTCCCATTACCCTAAAAGAATTGTTGTATGAACTTTACCATTTCTAGATTCTATATCTAGTCATTCTAACTATTAAATTTCCATCGCCACATTCCACGATTTGATGGCTTCTATCTACGTTGACAAGGCGTATGATTAGCTGTTAAATCATTAAGGAGTGTGTCTATTCTCGATTGTTGATCGCTGCTATATCCATTAAGTACTGGTATCTGTTCACTCTCACCCGAAACTAAGAGCGAATACCAATGTGAATAGTATGACATACTGATGGATACCATATCCTCTATCCCGTCTGAGGTGTAAATGATTGATTGTTATCATTTGCCAGCGAAGGTTCGAAAGATATCTCAGACCATAATATCGATCTCGCCAGAAGCATCAAACAATTTTACACCAATCTACATGATTCCCAGCACACTATAAGAAACACTTTTTTGTGTAGCGCAGTCACAAGAGGGCGAAGTCATCCCAACGGACTAGAATAGCAGAATGTAAGATGACAGTGACGTTCTAAGATTTCTAAAAAATGAAAAAAAAAGTGAAAAATTTATGAATAAAAACGAGTGATGATTGCAAAAAAAGGCTTTATGTTAAAAAAGTAAAAATCAACTTAACAATGCTGTGATTGAACAAATATAAGTTAATTTTTACCATACAAACGTGACTAATGTTTTTATATACAGATAAATAAATAAATATATACACAACTAATTGAGAGAAAAAACAAAAGCTTAAATGAACCTTCTTACAAAAAAGAAATTTTTTACGCATGCGGTAATGTGAATATTAAATTGATGTGCAAGCTGGGAGATTCGAACTCCCGAACCTTGCGGACTAGAACTTGAGTCTAGCGGATTTAACCACTTTCCTAAGCTTGCTTTAATGTTTCATTTAAATTCTAATTAATTTTTTATTTTTAAAAAAATGTCTCTATTTGTTAACATGTTAATTTGGTAACTCATCATTTGGAAGATGGGTTTTAGAACTACCAGTAATTTAAAAATAAATAACTTGGTAAAAAGTTTCTTATTTAAAATACCTACTATAATTCTTATTCTTTTCCACACTCTCATTTGATATTAAAAATAATTATGCACCTAATCCCTTGATCCAGACAATAATATCTTTAAAAACCAAATAAACTTTTTTTTTTCTATCTTATCTATTTTTATGACTTACCAAAGAATTCAGGAAAAGGCTACAAATATAGAACTTTGTGCAGATATATTCATAAATATATTTTAATAATAGGCTATTAATATTAAGTTATTTATTTGATCAATTTATGAATATTAAATAACTTTCCGTTATCCTTTACAAAAAAAACAAAATAAATAATACTGGGAATTTATCACCCTGTTTTGCAAGTCAGTTTGAAATTTTTATTTTTTTTGATTTATTTTTTTTTTGAGAAAAAAAACACCCCTCATGTGATTATTATTCTTTAAAAATATCAATTGTGTTTATTAAGTTTAATTTATCTTTGTAATAACAATAAACCAAACTATGAAATCAATTGGTGTAGCTTATATTCTCTGGTTCTTCTTAGGTTTCCTAGGAGTCCACAGATTCTATTTAAGTATGTCTAAAATAGCAAATTCATTGCAATTACCGAAACTAACCTTCTCTATTCTATGTTTTACAGATAGAACATGCTCTGGTATTATTTATCTCTTTACCTTTGGTATCTTTGGTATCGGATGGTTAATTGACATCTGTTTGATTCCAGGTATGTTTAAATCACTTTATTTTCGTTTGTAAAAAGTCATCTTGGATACTGTCGCCACGATATTTTGTTTTTTTGTCAAAAATTTTGATGGTTTTCCGATTTGTTTGGTGTAACCTTTCAAACACCAACCTTATACGACCTCATACATACACAATCAACTAGTTGATTAATCATCTCCCTATGTTGTTGATGTTGATGATGATCACATTAAGATAATGATGACATTGATCCCATATATATATATATATATATAATGTGATGTAAAACAATGTACTAACTAATTTTGATTTTTCAATTCTTATAACCTTATTTAGGTATGGTCGAACATGAGAACACCAAACACTGTCACGAGACCACCACAAGTGTAGTTGTTGTTCAACAACCAGCTCAACCAGTCATGTATCAACAACCACCACCAGGTGCCCCATACCAACAACCATATGGTCAACCATATCCAGGACAACCATACCCAGGTCAACCATATCCAGGTCAACCATACGCACCACAACAAGCATATCCAGGTCAAGATCCAAATCAACCACCAATGATGTACCCACCAACTGCTCCACCACCCCAATAAACCAACATCTAAATATTACTTGACACTATGTTTTTAATTTATATATTTATTATCTATACAACTTAAGTGTTATAAATAAAGCATTAAAAGAAAAAAAAATAGAAAAAACCTTTAATTAATTAATTATATAAAATAACATAAAGTTTAATAATTCTATTGATTTGATTGATTTAATAAATCAAAATGATTATTATGTTTTTTTTTTTTTGTTAATCCTTTAATCGGTTTTAAACAATTTCATAGATATATTTTACAATTTCTCTTATTCCTTCGATGAAACTCTTCCAATTCTGAACGACACGATCCTTGTGACTGAGAGACAATAGGATGAGTGCTTCTGGTGAGAATACCTCAACCATGAACATAAAGAATGTATCTGTTTCGTCACGTGTCAGATCCATACGTTTCAGTGGATCGATGATCTTCTCGATGATGTCTTCAAATAGGTTTCTAAACTCTTTGCTGTCAGATAAATTCGATCCAATAGCAAGAATACCTTTCAACAATGATTTGAATTTAGAATCCATCGCCTTTAGTTTCTCGTTATTGAGTAGTGCGATGATCTGTGCAAAGTTGTTGATACTGATGTTTGCTGGTGTCGAAGAAGAAGCCGTTGTCATTGTGATCTGCTGTTGACTACTAAATATCGGCGGCAAATTAGGTGCAATTGAATTCATTATATTATTGGCAGAGGTCGACGTCGATGTGGCGATGGGTGTTGCGCTGTTGGTCGTCGACACCGAGGTGAGTGGTGGCGTTGGCACTGTATTCGACGATTGATTCATCATTAGCTGTTGACTGCTATTGCCTGTCAGAACTCTAGGTGATTGATTGACATTCAGATTACCAGTGCTTGTATTGGTAGTTAGTGGTGGCACGACAGTTGTCGCCGTAGAGGACGACGATGAACTTGTGCTTTGATACCGACTCTTTATCAGTCGCCAATAGCGGTCTGTCTCCTTTGATAGATATACCTTGAGATCTCTGACGTCTTCCTTCAACTTGATATCGAGATCCATGCAGTACAACTTCATAGGATCACCCCAATACGACATGACCTGCTCGGCAGCACGCATCAACTCTTGTGTATTCAAAACATTGACTCGTTTGTGCGACAGATCGAACCTATGAAAACACAGAAACAATACACGAGCATACTTCTTTGCCAAGTCTCTACTCAGTGAGAATTCATTCGTAATCAAATCTATCGAATTTGACTTTACATCTGTAAAAACAACTCTACTTATTCTTTTTAAATTATCAAACTATATTATTTGTAAAAACAAGTTTAGTAAGAAGTTGGTTGATTGATTGATAAATGGTTGTTATCAATATATTGATAAAAAAAAAAACCGAATAACTTACTTGTCTTTCACATGTAGATAATCTAATTTTTAATTTCTCTGAAGTATCATCTAGATCTCTACGTTGTCCACTCGTCAGTTTTCTACCTATGAGTTCACGCATGAGGTAATCATCGAATTCGTAGTAACCCTCGATGAGTAATCGTCTAGAGATAAGATCCATTTGGAACATTGAGTGATTAGCTAATGTCTTTGGATGTTCCAATGCCGTCTGAAGTAAAGAGAAGTTCCTATATTGATCCTCTGTCTCTTCTAATAACAACTGCCATGATCCAGTAGTTGAATTCGATGACATCTTATCGATAGCATCTCTTCTAGATGCACATTCTCTCTCTATATATATATAAATTATCATCATTAACACCGATCATATAAAAATATTAATAATAGTTACATCTATAGTTTAGTTTAACTAAAGTAATGATAACATACCTGTGAGACCATCTAACCATGATTTATAGATAAAAGTATTTACAGGTATTGGATCAGATACGAATACATCGAACAGAATCTTTGACTTTCCATAGAATTGATTATAATTTGCTAATAGATTACGATATGAATCCTCATTCATCTCAAAATATATAAATAATATAAAATAAATAAAATCTAATATTTGTTTTTTAATTTTTAAATATGAAAAAAAAAACAAAAAAAAAAAGAATCTTAATTTAAAAACTTCATTGACACTTATAATTCCTTGGTGAGAACAAATAAAAAACAAAATCAAATGAAATTTCAAGATGATGTTTAATACATTTATGAATATTCAAAAAAGAAAGAGACTGAATTAATTTTATGACAATAGAAAACTTTAGTTAACTTTAATTAAATATAATTATGGATTCTATTGAAGATGATGATGATTTTCATTATCCTTTTAAAACGACGACGACAACAACAACGTCCACAACTACTACATCAACAACTACAACCAATCAATTAGGTAACGATATAGATATGATACCTATAAATAACAATATTGAAAATAATGATATCAACGGTAGTAGTAGTAGTAGTAAGAAATTAATAAATGAAGAACATTGTCCTATTTGTTTATCTGAAATAGAAGATATTACATTTCTTGATATATGTTTTCGTATGTATATTATTTTATTAAACTATCATTTAACTTTTTATAATTCTTTAATACTAACTCTTTTTCTCTTTATTAATTAATAGATCATTTTTGTTATATTTGTATATTACAGTGGTCAGAGATATCTGGTAACTGTCCACTTTGTAAATCTAATTTCCAGTCATTAATTCACGATGTAAAATCAAACAAAGAATATAAAAGACATTTAATAAATAATAAAAATAGTAATAACAATGCTAATAATAGTAATAATAGAAGATTAAATCATCAACAACAACAACAACAACAGCAGCAAAGAATTTTCATACCAAATAACAATTCAAATACAAGCTCACATGAATTTAGAAGAAGTGTATATGCGAGACAGATTAAAGCAATACCGATGGTACCTCCTTTCAAGTTGTATCTAAGTCCACAAATGATCAGTGCAAACTATAGCAGGTGGAAAAGCAGGTTATCACCTTGGATCAAAAGAGAGTTACAGGCAATACTACAAACGGAACAAGTAGATATCCTTGAAGAGATGATACTCTCACTTCTCAAGAAACATACCATCGACAGTGCCATCATCATCGATACTCTCAAGCGATTTCTATTCGATAAAACAGATCTATTCTTACATGAACTACTATGTTTTGCATGTAGTCACTATAATATACAAGCATACGATCAAAATGTAACATATCATAGACTTAATAATAATAATAATAACAATAATAATAGTGAAACACAAAAGAGGAAAAGAGATATTGAAGATAATAATAATAATGTTGATGATATTATTGATGTTGATGCTAAACCGCTGACAGATTACATGAAGAATTCGAAATCTATATTCTCTGGTCATATACCACCAATTCTTAATCAAATCATTTTGGAGAAGGAAAGAGAGGAAGACGAGACCATCAGGAATCAGAGATTAAAGCGATTACTCCGATCTGGTGTATCTAAGGAACCGAATTGGTGTGAACTCTCCAAGGATAACCAACTGCTGACTGCAACCATCAGCACTCTCAATAGCAATATCCAAGATTTCGAAAGTTTGTTAAATCCAACCACCAACACTCTACAGTCATCAACATTGTCAACATCAACATCAACAGCAGCAACATCAGTAGCATCTACAACAACATCATTTCCTACCAGTAGTACCGAAAGCAGATCTTTTTTCCACACATTTGAAAATCAAAAATATCACAAAAACAACAACAATAACGACAAACTGTAGCAAATAACAAATAACAAACAAGCAAACATTTATCTATTTCAAAGTTTGCTATGATTATAATATTATAAATATTTGCTTTCTTTTTGTTTTTTCTTTTTTTCTTTTTTGCCTTTGCAAAAATTTGTTACAAGTGCTAGGTTTTTTTGTTTTGTTTTTTTCGGTGTAAAAATTGAATCGAAATAATCTGTTTGGCATTATGTGAATGTAAAAGTCGAAGGTTGATGGAAAATTATCATTTTTTTTTTTCGAAAGTTACAAAAAAGGATTTTAACACGATGAAAAAAATTTCACCAAATTTGGAGTAGACATTTTACCACATAAACACATAGACCACTTGATGAATTAGATGATCCTCCAATTAAACACTAACTCCGAAAATTAAACAAAAAAAAAACAATTAACAAAAAAATAACAATGAAACCTTTTTTTTTTTTGTGACAATGGTTGTATAAACAACATCAAGATCCATTTAAAACTCTTATTATTTTATAAAAAAATAAAAAAAAAAACAAAAAAAACATTATAGTGCAAACCCTTATTTGATTGTCCATCGGAATCTCCCCATCACTCGTCATTCCTATTTTGAAAAAACACACATCAAATTTTGATCAACTATCATCATCGTGTTTCTTGTGCATGACTACACCGATGCCGTACATCAGAGCCCCCGATAAAATTGACATTTTCAAAAATAAAAAATTAATTTAATTTTGAAAAATTTTATAAAATTTAGATTTTTGTCCGAATTTTAAATCCTACAACCCATTTATGACAATTTTTTTCCAAAAATAATTAAATATCAAACCTCAATTTTATTTAAATTATTTTTTTCTTTTTCTTGATTTTATTTAATTTTTTTTTGTGTTCCTAATCAGGCTCCTAAAAAATTAAATAAAATCAAAACCAAAAAAAAAAAAAAACACATTTTATATTTTTATTTATAGATAAACACCTTTAGAGCAAGACTCAATTAGAATTGTAAAATTAATAAATATTATTTAACTAAAATAGAGAGATATAAAAGAGAAACAACTCACAATCAGTATCATTTTAGAGATTCACATAACAGGTTATTTTTGTACAAAAATCAAACAACAACAACAAATCATAAAGTATATAGATCATACAATTAAATTCTCAAATTTCACTTTTCTTTGTGGTTTTAATATGTTTATCGATTATTCTTGTTACTTTTCAATTTCATCAATTTCATTCATTCCCCTAATTAAATTTGTAATTGAGTGGGTGATGGTAATGGGTGGAATCTAAATATATGATTCCATTGCATTGATATTCAAGAAATGTAGTTTCTGAATTAAAGGTCGTAACACGGTCCAAATCACTTCAGAAGATCACATTTATGATGTATTGGGATACCAGTAACACTATCGCAACAAACCATCGACAAATCTTCTACCATTCCATTCCCATTGTCAATGGAACTTTTATTTCTTTTTTTCTGAAATTTTTATTTTGAAAAACAATGTTTGCAATTCAGAATAAAAAAAATATGGTTCAAAAAAAAAGATCTAGATTTATAGTTTTGGCAAAGCTTTTTTTGTGTTTTTTGTTATTTCTGATTTAATTCCTCACCAGGTTGTATACAATTAAATTTACAAATCACAACACATTTAATTTGGTCTCCCCAACATTTGGGAATATATATTTATCCATAATTCCATATTCTAATTAATCATAAAAAAAAAAAACAGCAAAGTAATTTCATTATATTATATTTTATTTATTGTAAATAGATAACAACTTTGTTACACTTTTTTTTCATCACATTTCCAAAATATAATTTGTTTTTTTTATATATAAAAAAAAGTAATTCATAGAAAAAAAAAAAAGAAAAAAAAAAACAAAACTTAAAAAAAAAAATCTGTCGATCATCACTTCCCATCTAAATATTAAGATAATGGGTGTGTTGTCCAAATTGTTTTCAGTTGTGTTATTGTTTGTAATGAGTTGTGGCGCGCATTGTCTCTTGGCTACATTATCAGTATTTCTCGCATCATTCTTAAGATGCTCTACCTTTGACAAAAAAAAACGACAAAAAAACAATAAATAGTTTTTTCTATTTTTTCCATTTTTTTTTATTTATTCGGAATTGTTTCAAAATACTCATACGCTCATATTACATTGGATTATAAAATCAACCGACAACAATCCCAAAAAAACTGTACAGTTTTTTTTGTATTTTTTTTTAAAAAAATCATTTTTTGCAGACTTTTTTTATTTTTATTATTTTTTTTCAAAAAAAATCATTTTGTTGCTTTTTTTTTTCTAGACCAATCAACAACAAAAACTCCCCATTAAATCCAATCAATTAACAATATAAAACTTACAAACCTATTTATTTATTTATTACTTTTGACAACAGAAGCAAAAAACAAAACAAAACAAAAAGTAACAATACAACAATAACAGCAATAGCAATAACAAGTAGGTTTTTTACAGTATTTAGATCATTGCAATCTTATCTTAATTTGTTGTCACCATTTTTTTTATTTCATGCCAATTGGTAATGGTTTGTCAAGCTTTCCTCTTTTCAATATAAAACACTTTTAAACCATCAAAAAAAATAATTAGATAAATTTAAAAATCAAAAAAAAAAAAAAGCAAAAATCAAAAATCAAACAATTTTTAAAATTGTCTATTGATAGAAACCAAATTGAGTCTAAAATATAATATTACATTAATACAATCAAGCTAAACATTGTTTAAAAGAGAAATCATAAATCAACATAGAATTAAGATAGAGTTTTTTTTTTTAAAGGATTACTTAAAACAAAAAGTACTATAGCAAATTAAACAAATCCCTTCAAATACATCGATCAAATCGCTGTACATCCAGAATCATCACCATATCACAGTAACTCCAACAAATTGTTATTTATAGACTCACTCCACTCACCCACTATCATATACAGAATAATATTGCTTATTGTTTGGTCGCTCTATTTATTATTATTTTTTATCTGTTTGTTCAATTGTTATTATTTATAACAGATTTATTTTAACCTTTTTTTATTTGTTTTTTTTACTTTTATTATGGAGGATTAATATGTGGTACGCTGGATATTCAATTGATTATTTTTTATATCTTGTGGTTTGTGTTTTTAATTAATTTATTTTGGGATGATGTTTGTTGATTGATTAATAATTTTGTGGTAATGGTGTGGTTGGTGTTGATTATTATTATGCTACAGACACAGTTCATAGTCGAAATCAAATCAATATTATCCCTTCGAAGATTAAAATAAAGATAATCAAAACAACAAACAACACAGCACCCCCACACTTATCCTTTAAACGTTATTTTAATACTTCATTTCTACGCCCTCTTTTCTTCTTATTATTGATCAACAACACACCAACCACATCACACAACAACTTAATTATTAGATTTTTATTTTATTTTATTTTTTCCCTTTTTTTTAAAAAGGAAATAAATAATAACAAATAAATTATCGACTATCATACATACATACATAACCAACAATCCTTCAGTCATTTGCTGGCAACTGCTATTCATTCATTACCACACCATCCACTACTAATTAAGTAGTTCACTCACGCACCAAACAACAACAACAACAATCACAACCAACCACTTAAGTTTGTTCCTTAAAAATTGAAATATCTATTAAAGTTGTTCATTTAGTAGCTTGTAGTTTATTGAATAATTCCAAACTCTTTTTTTAAATTTATAATAGTAGTGATAATAATTAACTAATTTTTAATATTTTAGATTTTGTAAATATTACATTTAATTTATAGCATTACAAGATATACCAATACACAATACCAGAACAACAATCATCCAAATTATCTTTAAGAAAAAGAGATTTTAGTAACAACAAAAACCAAAACATAGATAGTTTAGATAGAGTATCAAGACAATAAACAAGTCATACAGCAGCAACAACAGCGATAACAAACATCATTAAAATCAGTTATTGTCAATATCAATAAATATATATATATAAAGAAAAGATGGGAAATTTTTGTGGTAAAGCAGAGATGGGTACAGCCGAGGAAATCAAGGCTAATCATTCCATCAATCATATGTTGAAACAAGCAAGATCAAAATTAGAGGGTGAAATTAAACTACTTCTTTTGGGTGCTGGTGAATCTGGAAAAGTAATTATCTTCAACCACGTTATTTTTTTTTAAAAGTAACTTATCATAATTTACTAATATTTATTATTAATTTTATTTAAAATTTAGTCAACTATTGCTAAACAAATGAAGATTCTGCATTTGAATGGTTTCACAGATGAAGAAAGATTATCATATAAAACTATTATCTATAATAATACAGTTGGTTCAATGAGAGTTTTGGTCAATGCCGCAGAGGAACTAAAGATTGGTATCAGCGAGAGCAACAAGGAAGCAGCATCGAGAATCGCCAACGACTTGGGCGAGCACTTCAATGGTGTTCTCACACCAGAGTTGGCTAAAGACATCCAAGCATTGTGGGCCGATCCAGGCATTCAAACCGCCTTTTCCAGATCATCAGAGTTCCAGTTGAACGATTCCGCCGCATACTATTTCGATTCGATCGAGAGAATCTCCAAACCAACCTACCTGCCATCGGAAGCCGACGTCTTGCGTTCGCGTACCAAGACCACCGGTATCATAGAGACAGAGTTTGAGGTGCAAGGAACCAGCTTCAGAATGGTCGACGTCGGTGGTCAGCGTTCAGAGCGTAAGAAGTGGATGCACTGTTTCCAAGAGGTCACAGCCGTCATATTTTGCGTGGCACTCAGCGAGTACGATTTGAAACTATACGAAGACGACACCACCAATCGTATGCAAGAGTCACTGAAGCTCTTCAAGGAGATTTGCAACACCAAGTGGTTCTCAGAGACTGCCATGATCCTCTTTTTGAACAAACGTGATCTCTTTGCCGAGAAGATTACCAAATCACCGCTTACCACCTGCTTCAAAGAATATAACGGTGCTTCCACCTACGAAGCTTGTGCAGACTACATCAAACACCAATTTTTGAACCAAAACGAAAATCCAAAGAAATTAATCTATCCACATTTGACTTGTGCTACCGACACCTCCAATATTGCACACGTATTCAACAGTGTAAAAGACATCGTACTCAATATTACATTAGATGAAGCTGGTATGGCAATCTAAAAATAATAATAATAATAAAAAAAAAACAAATGAATAAAGAATAAGAAAAATAACACCAACCAAACAAACAAACAAACAAACAAACAACCAACCAAATCAAATCAATTCAATTCAATCAACCAATCAGTCAATCAATCAAATACCATTGAAAGATATATAGTAGTAATATACTTTTCAACTCAACCAAATTTTTCACAGTTCTATAGTCAAATAATAACCTATTGTAATCATTTCAAACAAAAACCCAAAAAGTCAACATTAATCAATTTCATAGAACCAAAACGATCACACCAAATTCCCTTTAGTCCACTTTCTATCTTACAATAATCGAAATCTTTCAACCCGATAGAAATGGAAATCAAAACTACCTTTTTCACATATTTGTATTTTATATATTCAATAAATTTAAACTCAATTTATTAATTATTAAGAATCTGGTCTGTTTAAGTTTTTTGCTTAAGATTTAACATATTATATTTTTCGCTATTTTATTTTAATTGGTGAAGTGACAAAAGTTACTGCTGAATATTTATTTTTGTAATCTTTGAAACTAAAATAAATTAAACACCAAAGTTAAAGTGTGGTCGACCACTGCAAAGATTTCTTTAAAATGATTTGACAAAACAAAAATAATTTAATAAATGTGGGGTCATACCTGTTTAAACATAACTGCAGTAAAACTCTAGCATTCTTATCACATATTAAACTTTCTCTCTTTGTTTTTTTAAATCTATACGTATACTTTCAAACATTCGTTCATTCAATTCAATCGTTGGTAGGTTTTATTTCTATTTAGAGGTTAATAATTTTCGAAATAGATGTGCTACTCTAGTGTTTATATATTTATAACAAGCATTTCAATAGTTTTCAAAACTTATTTATTTTGACAAATAGTTTATGTTTGGATTATAATATAATTATTAATAAGGTTATTAACTAGTTTTTCCTCTTTTGTTAAACTCATAAATCTAAATTTTATATTAATATAAAAAAATAATACTCTTTATTCAATACAAAGTTTTATTCTGCATTTCAAGTAAAAGAGAGTTCATTCTATTTTAAAATGTCACACAATAACTATCAAGATTTTGTCAATATCGATGAGTTCAAGTATGCTGCTGAAAAGAAGTTACCTCGTATGGTTTACGATTACTATGCCTCTGGTTCATTCGATCAAGTAATGTTATCATTAAACTAATATGTTATCATTAGTTTGATCTAGATGTATCATTTGTACTTTTACTAATCTTTTATAACAACAGATTACATTAGCAGAGAATCAAAACTATTTCTCTAGAATCAAACTACTACCGAGATGTCTGATCGATGTTTCCAATGTAGATATGAGAACCAATGTATTGGGTATTGATTTATCATTTCCTCTGATGATTGCACCGACCGCTATGCAAAAGATGGCACACCCAGTAGGAGAGACCGCCACCTGGAGTGCAGCCAACGAGCTAGGTACATCTATGACACTATCGTCACTCTCCACCACCAGTATCGAAGAGCTCTCTAAACACGCAAACGGAAATCCAGGTTGGTTCCAACTCTATGTTTTCAAAGATCGTGCTATCACAAAGAATCTTGTACAGAGAGCCGAACAAATTGGTTATAAAGCAATTGTTCTTACAGTAGACACACCGTACTTGGGTAGAAGAGAAGCTGACTATAGAAATGGGTAAAGTATTGAAAACAATTAATCATAAATAATCGATCGATATTCAGAATTCAATCATTTTATTAACTTTTATATATGGATTTTTTTTAGATTCCGTTTACCTCATGGACTTAAATTACAGAATTTCTCTGATCTACCATTGGCAGATGTAGAAGGAGGATTGAATGCATATGTAGCGACAATGATCGATAGTAGTCTGACTTGGAAGGATTTAGATTGGTTGAAATCGATCACTAAACTACCAATTATTGTAAAGGGTGTGATGTCACCGAGAGATGCAGAGATTGCAGTGACACACGGTGTAGATGCAATCATTGTCAGTAATCATGGTGCACGTCAACTTGATACTGCACCTTCTACCATCGAGGTGCTACCATACATTGTCAAGGCTGTCAATGGACGTTGTCCTGTCATCTTGGACGGTGGAGTCCGTCGTGGTACCGACATCCTCAAAGCATTGGCTTGTGGTGCCAAAGCAGTGATGATCGGTAGGCCTGTTCTCTGGGGATTGGCAGTTGGTGGCAAAGATGGTGTAAAACGTGTCTTATCTTTACTGCACGATGAATTGAAACTATCGATGGCTCTAGCAGGTGTTAAATCTATCAGCCAAATTAACAAATCTTTAATTTGGGATCCATCAGAATATACTAAACTTTAGAATAAAAAAAAAAAAAAAGATAATTGCAAAAAAAGTAACAATTTAGAATGAACAAACATAAGATAGTTAAAAAAACGTTTCGAAAAAATGTTTATTGTGGTTTATAAACTTTCTTTGACATACAAACATCGTTTGGTAGAGTAACGATGATTGAGTTGTCACGATTAAACTTGAATTGATCTGCAATAATCTCAGTGTTGAACTCTTGCATTTGATAGATGTCTAAAATGTTTTGTTTGATCTTTCTAAAGTTCCAAGTTATCAAGAAATTACCGGAGGATGTTACAATCGATGTTTCGGATTGATCACCAGGTGCAATGTTAAACTTGGCTGGTGTAAATGAAACTCTACCACCTAATCTCTTCAAATCGTTTGGTTTCAATAGCAGTCTCTTTGGTGTTGGCTAATAAACAAAAAAAAGTAAATAAAATTAATATTAATATTTAACTTAAGCTAAAACACTTGATATTTATACTTTACCTTCTTAGCACCTAATCTATCTTCAAAACCATTCAATCCTTCTTTGGTTTCAGCTGGTACGATCAATAGATATTGTTTGCAGGTTGCAACTACCCATTTACCATCTTGAGTTGTATCGATACCAATGATTGGATCACCAATACCAGGTAGAGTAGTTCTCGAACGAAGGATCTTACCGAGTGGATCTTCAGCAGTGGATGATCTCTTCTTGGTGTCAAACTGAGTCTTTGTGAACAACTTGATTTCACCTTTGTTTGTACCGAGTGCGATGTGTCCTTGGTCAGAGGTGGCACCACATGTATTAATAGAGCTTGGATTGGAACCACCATAGAATTTTTGTGTGATCTTATCTTTTCCTTGACGTGGATCAACCAAGAACAAATTGTTTCCATTCATACCAACGAATGTTTCTCTATTGGTTGTTTCATCAAACTTGTTTTGTGGTAGGATCTGAGTGGCAACTGTATTTTGATTCTTCCAATTCAAATCCTAAAAAGAATGATAAATATAATTAATAAAAGTAAATTGATTGATATTTTTAATGTTTGATTGATAGTTACCCATTCTTGTACAATATCAGGTCTGTTTAGATCCATTTTAAATACTTTGTTCTTTGAAGTTGGGTTGAGCATCAAGAGTGATGAATCTTGGTTTTGCAGCATCAGTCTCTTTGGTGAGAAAGTCTGACCGTTCTTATCAGAAATACCCTTAATGATAGAGTTAAACTGAACATCATTCTCACCAGTATTGAATACACCAATGTTAGAGCCACGAACTACATATGATCTATCTTTGTAGCCTACTAGGAGCTCACTGTTCTTTGCTCCACTTCCACCTTGTTCCATTTTAACACCTTGAACTTCATCTTCCTCTTCACTCTCATCTGAATCCTCTTCTTCATCTTCATCTTCATCCTCGCTCTCACTCTCTACAATGGCTGGAGGTGGTTTCTTTACTGGTGTTCTTGTTGATATGTATTTTTGATGAACTATATCAGCTTCGGATTGCTCGTCATCTGATTGATCTTCTTCTTCCTCTTCTTCATCTTCATCTTCCTCCTCATCTTCTTCCTCTTCATTATCACCTTCATGCTCATCTTGTTCATGATAAACTACATTGTCTGGTCTTTTTACAAATTTGCCTGGTTCACCTTCAGACTCTTCTTCCTCTTCCTCTTCCTCATCTTCCTCGTGCTCTTCATCCTCTACTTCGTTTGAATCTTCGTCTTCCTCATCCAAATCATCACTTTGGACACTGACGATATCACTTTCATTCTGACGCTCGATTTCAGCTTCCAATTTTCTCAATTGGTCATGCTCTTGTGCGGTGAACTCTTGAGAGGATGAAATCTTCATATCACTGAAATCCTCTAAATCCTTTGTTGTAAATCCATCGTCTGTATCGAAAATAATATTTGGATCTTCATAATCATCTGTCAGTGCACGTGCTAAATATGAAACATCATCTTTCTATAATATTATGACAGTGAATAAATTAATATTTGGTTATTGTTTAATTTAAATTTTTAAGAATTCAATTACCTTTCCTTTAAATTTAGTTTGATGTGATGCTTCATAATGTAAAACAGTGAATTTATCTCTGAATGATTCAAAATCTTTGTCAGAGTCGAATCTTATACTCCAACGTGTATAGTTATTTCCAATTCCAGAGAACCAAATGAATGATATTTGCTCCTAAAAAATAAATAAATAAAAATTAATTTATTGTTTTATAGCTATTAATAAAAGCTGTTATTAGATATTTACGTTAAAGAAATGTGGATACATATCAGAGTTGATAATTTGTGAAATAATAACTTTATCATTTTTAACAATAAAGAATGTGACTATATCATTGTAATTTAGATGATTTGATGGGATATTAGTAACTATAAAGTATTAATTAAAAAGTAAAAAATGTTATCTATATATATTTACATTCAATTACAGGAGTAGTACGTGTCTTATTCATTAAAACAAATACATCTGCATCTTGTAGGTTGAATTGTGAACCTGTTTCAAGATAGAGTGAACAATGACTACGGAATAGTTCTTCACCGGTTGGCAAAGCAGATCGAATATTCTCGAAATTGAGTTTGGTTGGTTCGACCTCTACTTCCTCTCCACCCTCCTGTGGGTATATAGATGTTGGTTGTTCTGGTGATGTTGGAGTGTTGCTGGTGGTAGTTGTGGTTGTTACTTGTTGTCTACCAGTTGGCTGTACAGTCTTTACTTTAGTTTCGAGTTTCTGCATTGTCTCTGTCCTCTCGTTACGGCAGTAGCTGTTGACTTCCGATGCCTCGGCATTCGAGTGGTGCTGTTGGAACTTTGACTCGTAGATGCATTGGCAGAGCAACTGCTGTAGTTTCTCAACGTTTTGCTCGGCTTGCTCGTCATTCTGCTGGTCAAACTCAAACATGAAACGAGTCTGTGTTCCACGCCACGATAGAGCAGGGCCATTGAGCGGACCCTCCTCACGATACAACTCTAATCCCACGGTAATCGGGAATTCATAGCTGTTTGGTTCGTCGTCATCGTCTGCCGCCACAGCCTGACTCTCATCCTCAATGATACGAGTCACCTGAACACAATAGGAATATTTATTTACATCTGGTTTCTTTAGTATTGCAATTTCACATTCATTGAATCTGAATATGTTCAAAAATAGAATATCTTATAATTAGGATTATCATTACAAATAATAGTATCTATATGAATATAATATTTAAACTTACAAACAACTCCATTGACCACGCGAGTAATGATAGAACAAACCAGTGTATTCAACGAGAGTCTCTGGTGAGGAATTTGCACCTCCATATAAAAAACTAGATAATCTTTTAAAGAATGCCATTATTTCCTTTTTTGTTGTTGTTTTTGTTTTTGTTGTTGTTGTTGTTGTTGTATTGTTGTCACTATTGCTTTTATTTTTTTATTATTATTATTAAATTATTACTTTGTTTAATGTTTGTCGATGTCTTTTTATTTTTATAAAAAATAATAAGATAATTAAATAAAAATTTAATATAATATTAAATTTGGAGATCTACTTTTCTTATTCTTTTTAATATTAATTTTATTTATCACTACTATTGTTTTATTACTACTACTAATAAAATAATCACCTTTTTTTTTCTTTAATTTCAAAATAAATAAATTAAATTTTAAGAGATTATGTGAACAAAAAAAAATCCCTCCTTTTTTTGAATTTTTTTTTAAAAAAAAAGTTTGGATTTTATTTCTTTGCTGAATCATTTACATTTTTAGTTATTTTTAGAATAATACAACCTTGTCTTTGTTGTTGTTGTTTTGATCAAGTTATTTCTATCATATGTTTAGTTTTCCTATAATAAATAATATCTCAATTTTAGTTATTTTATTTATAAAAAAAAACAAAAAAATGTGGTAAGAATGTTTGTCGTCAGAGGTTGTTGTTGTAAAAGATATTTAACAGAAAACCAATGCTACTATTTAATAAAAATTCCAATGACCTAATGAAGATTTGTTATGGTGTTGATAAAAAAAAGAATATATTTCTTGATATCGACAAGAATTATTAAATGAATTCATGTTACTCTGAATCGATGTTCTCCATTGAATAAAAAAAAAAAGTTTAAAATTATTATTTTTTATTGTATTATTACTTACATTGTGTTTTATTGAATAAACTAAAATTAAATATTTATTTGTTAGTTGTTTCTATCTATCTTTAAAATATACAATAAGAATAAGTAATTTTTATTTTCTTTTCTTAACAAATAATACTTATGGATTTTGATGAAGAGTTATTATTAAACAATTCAAGTTATAATCTAACTTTAAAAATAGGTATTGAATTAAATTATAAATAAAAAGATTATTTTTTTATAGAAAACTTATTATTTACTTTTTATTTTTTTAAAAAAAATAAGAAAATTTATTTAAAGATATAAATAAATCATTTCTACCTCCACCTCTAAAGAATAAATATGTAGATAAAGTTTATCATACCTATAGTAATGGAGGATTAGATAATTTGAGATCACAATTTGAAACTCATTTGAAACAATATCAATTTCAGCTAAAGATTGAAGAGGCTGAGAGAAAACTAGCAACACTTGACAGAGATCTCTCTACTTTAGCAAGTGAACGTATGGAGTTATCAAATGATTTGAATACATTGAAATCGAATCTTTCAACTATTTCCACATCAAACAATACTCTAAAGGTATTCTACTCTAACAATGAAACTGAAAAAAAAAAAAAAAAACAAAATTAAATTAATTTTCTAACCTCATACAACTTTTTATTAAAAATCTTCTTTAAAATGCAGGAAAATCAATTTAAACTGGAAGTTGATAAAGTAAAAGCTTTCGTGAACAACAATAGAATGAATGATATAAATAAAAGATTTAAATAACTATTATTCTTACTATATGTATAGATCTAACTTTAAATAAATAATAACTTTAATAAATAAAGATAGTAATATTAATGTAAAGTAAGTATCAAATGATACTTAAAGTGAAAGGTTTGTTTTTTATTTTTGTAGCTTTGATCTTGATATTACTACGAATAATTAATAAATAAATATATAGATTGTTTTGTATGTTGGAGTGATTATTTATCTGTAGTTTGTTTGTTGTTTGTTTTATACATTATATTATTGGATGTTTTTCTAACTATTTACGATATCTTGCAATTACAGCAATTGTTAATACAATCAAGATGATCGATCCACCTACCCAACAGTAGATATACTCATCCCCTTTGAGGTAGAAGTATTGATAGAGACCACCTACGATCAAACCAACACCGACAATTAAAAGTAGCGATGCGAATATCTTTGTGGTGACACTCTCTGATTTCTTTGTTCCCCATTGACTAGTTGAGTAACCACCCAACTCTGCGTTATGACTGCTAACATTGTAGTCTGTATTGTATCCTGCACCATAGGTATTGTTGTTATTTCCAGAGGTTGTGCCAGTTCTCTGAAATTGTTCTGCTGTCACACCCAGCGGTACCAATGGCATATGTTCATTGCTTTTATATCTAATATAGAAACTAGAATATTAGTTGATCTATTTTATTTATATTGATCTTGTTTTTTATGATCAATATTTTTTTTTAAAATTTTTTTTTATTAACAAACAAACAACAAAAAATAAAACAAACATAAACATTGTAACTTTTATCAAATAAATATGAAAATTCATACGAGTTACTTCTGCCCCAGTTATAAGACATTGTTACTATTATAATAGCTGTTATTATCTATAATAATATTGCTGTGGATTAGATGAGCAAATAAAAATAATAATAATATTATAATAATATTTTGTGATAATCAATCACCTGATCCCTATGCACATTTTTTTATTTTTATTTTTTATTTAATGGGCACCCAGAAATTTCGAACCAGTTTAAAATGACTTCAGATTACATTTCATACCAGCTGTGATTGAAAATTCAACCACCTTTTTTTTTGTTTTTCTTTTGAATTAAATATTTAATTATTTTTTTGCACTAATATTTTAAGTTTAAACTTATAATAATAATATTTATATATTTTCATTGTTTGTTCTTAGGACAAAATAAATTTCATTAATTTAAAATATTTCAATTATTTTTATATTATATTTCTAAACTATAATATAAATATTATATATTTTTTTACTAAAATAAAAATGGAAGATGTAATTATACATATGGATATCGATGACAAATATGATAGAACAAATTTAGGCGAAGTTGTTGTTCCATCAGAGGATTTTAAAAAACTCAAGGAGGAGATTGTTATCCTTAGAAATCAAAACATACAATTGAACCTTATTCTTAATACAAATACAAATATGTTTAACTGTAGTAAGTGTAAACATTTTGCCGAATTCCACAAAAATGAACACAGCTTTAGTGAGTTGTCAAAAGAATCTACTAAAAAATGGACAGAGAAGTTTCCCAGTATTTTTAAGAACAAGGAAATACCATTTTGCAACAATGAAACTCACCAAAACCTTCAAAAGCAACTGGAGTCACAAAGTGATTTATCAAATATGCAACAAAATAACTACAATAAACAAATGGAAATGCAACAAAATAACTACAACCAACAAATGGAAATGCAACAAAATAACTTCAACAAACAACTAGAAGTGCAAGAAAGAGATTTATCAATCAAGCATCAAAATAATGTCATCAATTTTATGAGAAAGTTCTATGCTCATCAAGCAAGTTTTAAATTTGACGAGTACATTCCTCAGGCAATATCAGACCCCAAAGAAAATCAACCAAGTTTTATTGATCCAAATCTTGTCTCGTTAGCTCTTGCCTTGAACCAAAAAATTGCTAAATATGAAAGTTTGACTGCTGGATTTTTAGAAAAGGACAATATATTAAAAGAAATCTCTGATTATATTAAAAGTAAGAATGCTAATACAACAACAACTCATAATGATAATGATAATAATTATAATGATAATATTAATTATAATAACAATTGCAATAGCCATAGCAATAATCATAACAATAATCATAACATTAACCATAATAATAATAATAACAATAGTTATAACAATAATGGCAAACAGATTGTCAACTACAATCTAAATAATAATATTGAATCTCACAATGGAGCACAACAACAATCAACTTCAAATTCTATGCTAGCTTTTAGAGGTAGTAGAAAGTCGCACAAGATAGATATTTATCTTGTAAAGGCATCTAATGATGATAGAAATATTATCTCTAAATTCTTCTATGACAATTTGCATCATAGTTACAATATTACTTTCAAGAATGAATCTCAATACAATGAATCTATTTCAGACACGAATAAAATCAATCCAAGCATTATATGTTATGTTCTGGCCACTGGTTCCTCTAGAATTACCTATGAAGAGTACAATGATAAGCTTGACCATTTCAAAAACAAACCAAATTCGATACTGTTGTTGACTTTGATTAGATTTGGAACGAATGCTGGAGTCCCAACACTGGAAATCAAAGATATCGATTACATTGTAATCAACACCACAATAGTTCCAGGTGGTAATCAAAAAGTTGTCAATTCAAACAATCAATTGACAAAAGATGCTGTCACCAAAATTGAAATGTGCATCAAATCCTTGTATGATAAACCAAAGTAAAGAATCAATCAATGTATAAATGAATTAAATTCATTTATTTCTTCTCTATTTCAAAAAAACAAATAAATAAATAATATCTTTTCCTGAACTACCACTGAATGAATTACAGCTATCAAGATAGATTCTCTTTGTTTTTGGTCATTTTTAAAATCTTAGTTAAATACTCCCCACTTAGTTTAAATAAAAAAAAATATTTCAAAGAAGTCACATTAATAAATGTTATTGAGTTGTTTTAATTAACAATGTTGGGATAAAAACATTGTTTTTTTTTTATATAATTTTATCTATCATATGTGTTTTTAGTGCTAAGATATGACAATCAAACTTAAAACTTTAGGTTTATTATTAAATTTTTAGTTACTAATAAACCTAAAGTTTTAAGTTTGAACTTTAAATAATAAATTTGAATCTATTTATTTGTTATTAAAGACCATATTTAAATATCATTCAAATTCTTATTTTTTATATCATTTTAAATTTTTCTAACCTTTGTAAAATGGAAGTTGATAATAATTATAGTAGAACAGATTCTGGAGATATAATTATACCTTTTGAGGAATTCCAAAAACTCAGAAATTCCAAAGTTCTTCTAGACAAATCAAACAAATACATGAAGGAGAATGAAATCCTTATAAATCAAATCAAACAATTAAACCTTATTCTTAATACAAATATGAATATGTTTAACTGTAGTAAGTGTAAACATTTTGCCGAATTCCACAAGAATGAACACAACTTCAGTGGATTAACAAAAGAATCTACTAAGAAATGGATGGAAAAGTTTCCCAATATTTTTAAGAACAAGGAAGTACCATTTTGCACCGATGAAACTCATCAAAACCTACATAAACAACTTGAAGAACAAAGAGATTTATCTATCAGGTACCAAACTAATTACATCAAAATTCAAGATGATATAAAGAAACTTTTCTATAATTATATAGATAATTTTAAATTTGACGAGCACATTCCTCTGGCAATATCAGACCCCAAAGAAAATCAACCAAGCTATGTTCATCCAAATCTTGTCTCGTTAACTCTTGACTTGAACCAAAAAATTGCTAAATATGAAAGTTTGACTGCTGGATTTTTAGAAAAGGACAATATATTAAAAGAGATCTCTGATTATATTAGAAGTATTAATGCTAATAGAACAACAATCTATAAATAAATAAATAAATCTCTTTTCCTAAAATCTACTTTTAATAAATTTAGGAAAAGAGAATTATTAAAAGTTCATTTAAACACGCGATATCTTCTCTTCAAAAATATTAATGATGCATCAAGATTTTTTTTAATAGCAATTAGTCAACATTCTAAGAAAAATATTTTTGTATGCTTCTGTTTTTTTTTTTTTTTTTCTTTTTTTTTGATTGTTTCTATTGACATGTTGTAATTCATTGTTCATTTAATATATACTCAGCCAATATAAACATATAAATATGACAACATTATTATTTAAAGAAGAAATCAAGTGGTTTTGGTATAACGATAGTGCGTGGGTTGCCTATACACAAGCACAGATAGACGATTTCGAAGCTGCTTACGCAAAGAAACCTGGTGAAATCAAAGTGGATAACGATCGTTTCATAGATTTAAAACTTACACACACTGAAGTATGTTATTATTTAGTTTTATAATAATAGTTTTTATTAAAATATTAATATTTTTAAATGGTTTGTTGTTTGTTTATTTAGATTGTTAATAATTTCTCTGGAATCAACGATAAAGATCTTATTGGTATTCAAAGAAGATATGATGATCACATGAAGAGAAGAGCTGTCAAGCGTACCCATATAGGAGTTGCTCCACTGACCTTTTTCCACGGAATCGAATTCTGTTTCATGGAGACTGTCTTGGGTGGAAAATCAGACGGCACAACAGCAACCAATATCACCAAGCTTGGTGGTATTCTATCCACAAAGATTACACCGACCGTATGTTTACTAGTTACATCACTACATTCAATCATTTTACTAAATGTTCAAAAAATATCAATATAATAGCTTAAATTTTTAGTTATCTCATCAAGTGAAGTTAAAAAAACAGATCCTGTACAGTTCAATAAAGTCATTACAGATGCTGAAGCAGTAAAAGCCGTTCCAGTAGAATCAAACTATATCAAGAGTTGTGTTAGTAACAAGAAGAAGCTAGACCATACACCATTCATAGTTGTAAGTTATTAACATTTAATATTACGATCAATTAACATTTATATTAACATTTTTATCATTGTTTACTATTGATAGAGTAAAAGTATGATATTCTTACAAACAATAATATCTAGTTTATTATAAACTAATACTAATTCTATCTTTTTATCTGAATGTTATGATTATAAAGAGGCTGTACCTGTAAAAGTAGATACTGCAACACCAACACCAGTTGCGACACCCGTTGCAAAGTTAGATTCTTCATATGTGTTGGCAGGAAGTGAGTGGGCTGGTGTATGTACAGTCGATGGTGATCATTATCCAATGACTTTGAAGGTCGATACTTTGGATGCTTCGACTGGCGAGTTGAATGGTACTCTGTCGTGGGCAACGCTCGGTGGCGCCATCACAAAGATAAAGGGAACCGTGAAAGAAGGTAAGTTTGATTTCGAAGAATACGAACTGGTATCTGGTGATCCCGATGAGATCGAGCTTCCCAACTCGTACGTATCGACCGTCTCGCTCGAGAGCATGACCGGTAACGTCGACGGCTCGATCTTCCAGTTGAAGCTAACCAAGTCACCACCTGTCACCACCATGAAACCCTACACCAACTACAAGGGTAAGGTTACACAGATCGATAACTTCAAACTCAAAGTACTCAAGCGTGAAGATGAAAAGATCAGCGGTACTCTTCACTGGCCATACTACAATGCCACCGCCGAATTCGATGGAACCATCCTCGAGGAGACCATAACAATCAAACAATATAAAGAAGGAAAAGAGTTGGGTCCAGAATTAAAAGTACCATTTAACAGTAAGTAGTAAATCAATCATTTATTATTTTCTAAAAACACAATAATAACTTCTTTTATCTTTATTTTTTCATTTCTCTTAATTTAGTTGTTGTAACAAAAGTAAAAGATCAAATAAATATGAAAATTTCAATGTAAATTTCAATTAATTATCAAAAGATTATCACTTAAATGATTATTTATAAATAATATATGATGTGCACCCAAAAATGGAAAATCTATGCTTTTTCCTTATTTTTTTTTTTTCAGAAAAATTTAAAAAAAAAAAATTTGGGCTTGTTTTTTTTTTTTGATGACACGAATGGTCCATACCACTTGATATAAAAATATCTTTTATTAAATTTTTAATTCTTTCAATCTATCTACATTTAATAATAGTTAATTAAATAGAATAAAGATGGGTGTACCTTCTTTTTATAAATGGTTAACTGAAAAGTATCCAAAAATAACCTGTACAAATTATTTATTGGAAAATATAGAAAATAATAATAATAATGATAATAATAATAATGAAAATGGTAATGGAAATAATAATAATAATCATGGAAATAAGGAAAAGAAAAAGTTGAGATTAAATAATCTTTATATTGATATGAATGGTGTGATTCATAATTCTACGCATGCAAAGAATTCAACAACTTTGTCACCGGTTGAATCCGACGATGTTTGTAGAATGAACTTGTTGAAGAATCTCGATGAATTGGTGGGAACTGTTCAGCCAACCAATCTGTTGTACATTGCAATGGATGGTGTACCACCACGTGCCAAAGCCATCGAACAACGAAAGCGAAGATTCCGTTCTGCCAAAGACGCAAAGGATGCTCTCTCCAAGCGTTTACCAAGCGATCCAGTATTCGAACCGTTCGACTCCAATTGTATTTCGCCAGCAACTGAATTCATGTGTAAGGTGAACGAGTGGGTTCTCACCTATGCCCAAGCACTGGTGAAGCGAATGCCATCCGTCTCCATTGTTGTCTCCGATGCTTCGGTCCCGGGTGAAGGTGAACACAAGATCATTGATTTCATTCGTGCGCATCGTGAACATTGGCCATCGGATACCAGTCACGTCTTCTATGGTATGGATGCAGATCTCATTTTCCTTGGTCTATCGACACAACTCTCACATTTCTTTGTGCTTCGTGATCTCGGTGCTCAGATTTATTGCTCCACCTGTAAGAACAATGGACATCTGTGTTACGAGTGCGAGTGTGCAGTTGCCAAGAAGCGTATGAACGATCCGGAACGATCCAGCCGTCTCTCCATTAGAAACATTCCAATCCAGGCGGACGAAGAGTATATTCGATCGTTTTTCGGAAGATTCGGAAAAGTTTTGAATGTTCGATTGGAACGAGCACTCACCAAGCGTCCATCGCTAACTGCATACGTCGAAATGGACAGTGTGGAATCAGCTAGAAGTGTATTGGCATATGGAGCAAACTATTTTATCAACGACACTAAACTGTCGGTACACTATGTCGTTGAGAAAGTAGTGTCGCCTGCCACTGCCGCTGGCGGATCGACTACACCACCAGCTGCTGCCGATCAAGAGGATATCGATAATGTTCCACTCAAGGCTATTTTCATTCCAAACTTGGATGTTAGAACTCAGATGTTCGATGTCAATGCATTCTTCTCTGGCTGTGGAGCCATCGAAGACTCTACATTTATCAAATCACCAAAAGATCCAAAAATCAAGTTTGTTGTCATAAAGTTTGTTGAAGAGGAATCAGCTAAGCGTGCATTGGCCATGAATGGTGTAGATTTCTATGGAACCAGTCTCATCATCAGAAAATCAAGACCCATGACCAAAGAACCAAAAGCACCACTTACAGACCAACAAAAGAAACAAAAAGATCAAGAAAAAGAAGATAAAAAGTTGAAAAAACTTGAAGTCGTAAATGAATTCTTGACCAAAGCAGATCCAAACACAAACATAGATACTGCTTATTTTTATTTAGGTGTAAGTTATTAATCATAATAATAATATGTAAAAGAAAAAGATATTAAAATTTGTTAAATAGATGGCAGAATGGAATATAGAAAAAGCATTTGAAACATATTTAGCATATGGAAAATCACAACATAAATTGTTGTCCGATACACCAACAATGAGAGATGATGATTCATTTGATTTCGTTAATCTCGATTACCTTAAGGAATACTTTAGATATTCAGTGTTGTCTGGACTGTCTGAATCTGTAGCATCACGTGTCGATTGTAATCGTATGATCAATGACTTTACCATGATGTGTATGTTGCTTGGTAATGACTTTTTACCACACCTCCCAACAATGGCTATTAAAGAAGGTTCAATCGAATTGATGATGACATGGTATAGAGATTGGTTATCATCATTCAAAGATGAATCATCAACCATTCAATATTTAACAGATGGTCCAAATGTAAATATATTATATTATTATTTTAAAGTTTTATATTTTAATACTTACTAAATGTAATGATAATTATAGATAAATTATAAACCATTCCACAAATTATTATTGATGTTATCAAAATGGGAATCATTATATTTCCCAGATAAATTGGAAAAGATGTACAAGAAGGAGATATTCAGATTGGATAATCTTTTAAAGACAAGTCCACACTTGGAATCGCATAGAAGAAATTTAGATGGTGATATCAATTACTACAAGTTAAAGATTGGTGTTACCATTGACAAGGTTGAGGAGACTGCCAATGATATCTGTAAGGCTTTTGTCGATGGTTTGGCTTGGGTACTTAGATATTATACTGTTGGATGTCCAGCTTGGAGTTGGTACTATCCATATCACTATGCGCCATTGATATCGGATTTGGCCAAATTTGTTGAGAAACAATCGCAAGTCTACAACGATACTAAGCATATTGTCTTTGATTATGGCGCACCATTGGAGCCATATATTCATCTGCTGAGTGTTCTCCCACACTACAGCTCCAAGCTGTTGCCACCAAAGTTGGCCGATTCCATTGTACGTGAGCCAGCTCCACTGTCTAGATTGTTTGAAGAACGATTTAGAATCGATCCTAACGGTGAGGAAGTCAGTTGGAAAGGTGTTGTGCTGCTTGATTTCATTAATACCAATGTGCTAAAGGAGCATGCCTCCCCGATTATCAAAGATCAACTGAGTGCAGAAGAATTGGAGAGAAATAAATTTGGAAAGGACAAGTACATAAGATTCAACAGCGAGATATTGGATATCAATCAGCATCTCGATGTGGTGAAGCAGCAGTCCACCGATAGGGAGCAAGGCAAACACAAGTTGGAGATCGACAATCACTATCAACCACTGTCGCAATTGGATCTGTTGTGGTGTGAGCGAAAGTTCTACACTTTGAGTCCAAACACACCGGACAGCTACGAGCAACTACCGATTGCACATCCAATGATCAATCCACCAACCTCGACACTACCGACCGAAGTAGTAATCAGTGACGAACAAAATCAATTTTTAGAGTGGCGTGAGAAGCAATCGCACGTCGAAGGTTCACTCGAGACTCTCATGTCGTCGGTCGATCTCAACAAGTCATTCACAGTCGGTGTCAACAAGAAACTATCGACCCCACTAGATCGTGTTCTATCGAATGAAATCTCAAAGACCAAACATATTCAATTGGTATCCGATGTAGATCAACAAATGTTAATACATATTCAATTTAACAAACAAACTAAATTGAATGGTTTGAAATTAATATCAACAATTTCAAAGGGTATGTTTTTTTTTAACAATTAAATTATAAACTTACTAATATATAAATGTCTATTTAGAAACAACACCAAAAGTATTAAAAGTATATTTTAATCAACAATCAGTTGATTTCAGTAGTTTACAAAGTTTGAAACCAGCTTTTAGTTTCGAGTTGGATGAGCTTAGTTGCTCGCTGATCAGTGACTACCAAGCATTCGGTCAAACAAAAATACATCAAGCCAACTCTATAACACTATTCGTAGAATCCAACCACAGTTCATCCGATGATTGTAAATCAATAATTGAAAAGATTGTATTAATATAATAAAAAATTTTTTGAGATTTTAAAATAACATATATATTTTATTGAACTTTGTGAAAGAATGGATTAACTTTTAACATAATATGTCTGTTTGTGTTAGCACTCTTTACCAAAGTCAATCCGTGGTCGATATTAGAGAAGAAATAAAGTTTGATCAAAAAATATAATTTAATTTTGTTGGGTGATTTCAAACTTTATTTTTTTAATAGAAAACGCGCCTTTAACTTTGAATTTGATCAAACTATTTTGCATTATTTAATATATTGATTTTTATATTTTTAGATTATTATATATAAATAATATAGTTAGTTATGGACTCTGTTTGGTCATTAAAGATAAATGATGATTTAAATAGCAGTTGTGTCAGTGTCACTGATCATAGTGGTACAACAACAACAACAACAACAACAAGTCGTGTAGCTAATGATAAGATAAATAATATCCAACAAAATGTTGTTGTAGTAAAGAGTAAAGATAATAGTAAAGATGATCATTCATTGATGGATTTAGATAGTGAAATCAATCAAATGTTAGATGATAATTCAAATAATGATGTAGGAAATGGCAGCAGTAATAATAACAAAAATAATAATAACAAAGAGAATAAAGATATATTATCATATTTGACATTGAAACACGATTGGTCAAACACTCAATATAGACATCTACTTCCACAGTTGACAACACCTGCTGCCGTTCAACTAGTTGCTTGGTCTACAGATAACTTTATTGCATTCGTACTGAACGAGCGTAGAGAACAATTAGATCTATTCGATTTCGATGATATCAATAACATTAATAATAACAGTACTAATAATAATGTTATAAATATAAATGATGGATTACAACAACAACAACAGCAGCAACAAAAGAATAACAGTAGTAATAGTAATAGTAATAATGGTGGTAAAGATTATGCAACTATATATGTTGTTAGAGTTGATCTACCACATGAGTATATGGCGATTAGAACTAAACATACATCAGCTATCAAGTACTTGGAATGGTCTAATCAAGTGCAAGGTTCGTTATTGATGTCTGTAGATCTTCAGAACAATCTGTCGTTGTGGAAGAAACTAGATCAGCTAGATGATTGGGAACCTACCATGCCATCTACATTGAACATACCTTACCTCCTCTTATGTAAATGGATAACGATCAATGCATCCTATCTACCTATTGATTGTCAACTACAAGAACAAGAACAAGAACAACAGCAACAGCAACCACGACCATCACCATTACAACAATTCAATAACAATCCAACCAATGAAATAGTTACACAAACATTCATTACATTATCAAAAGATGGAAAGGTATAATATGATCAAATTTAAATGATTATTATTAAATATATATATATATATTAACTTTTGTTATTTTTTAAAGATTAATATAGTTACATATAATCTATTAGATTCAAGTTGGAAACAAATTCAAGGAGAGATTATCATACCTATGTACTATTCAATTGATTGTGCAGATGTGATATCGCTCAAAGATGAGACAATCATGATTGCTATTTACTCTGAAAAGATGGGAAATGTCATATTATTATATAAAGTTACATATGATATCTATACCAATTGTAAGTATTATTAATATTTACTAAAATCTAAAGAATTGTATTTTAAACTTATTAACAAATATTAATAATAATAATAATAATAATAATAATAATTTAGATGTACATGTCTATCAAATAGATAGAATAAACTTGAACGATTATATAGAGTCTGACGATATACTGTTGAATACAAAGAGAAATATAAAGGTAAACTCTATTGTATTTGACAACTCTGACAACGCATTGATCGTTCTAAAGAGTGGTTTGAAGTGTTCGATACTCTATCGTTGGGAGAAACGTGAGAATCACCAATCGCAACATAGTGCCATATTATCTTTGTTTGGTAATGGTTCAACTTCACACCGAGACGTAACCGAATGGACATGTACAAACAAACAATATTATTTTAACGATAACAGCAACAGCAACAATAATAATAATAGCAATAATAATCAAGAGAATAGTGAAGATGATGATGACGATGTACCTTTAATTACATCTATACATTTTACACAGGTAACAGGTGTGTTATGGTTGAACTTTTCCAATGGTAAACTAGAGTGTATAAAGAGTAGAACGTTTGAACCGATCTCCAGTTCGATGCTCTCTGACATCAATGGAAATAGCTGTGCCGACGAGAGAGTCTTGTCAATTGCAACATCACCTAACGGTGCACTAGCTGCCTATCTTAGTAACGAGAATAGAATTCAGTTGTTGTCACTTCCCATTAGAACGATTAAAGCCAACAAGAATCAAGTGTCTACTTGGTTGTCACATCTATTCCAACATTCTATTCTTCGATCTACCGACTGGTGGGATCTCCTTGTTCTCCTAAGAATCTATTCAAACACACCAGAGACACACGATACCTATCACCATGTAATAGTTAAACTATCAACTGAATGTCAACATTATTATCCAAATACCAATAGTAATAATAACAGCAACAACAATGTTAACAACAACAACAACAATAATAATAATACTGGATTATCATCATCACAATGTAAATCAACTTTAGATGCAATTAGAGCTACTATCTATAGAATGGTGAATGGTAGAGAGTTGGCATTCATTGATTCTCAAGCAAAAGCATTCATCTACTACCTACAGGATACTCTAAAGTCATCGTATCAACCGTTGTGCCAAGAGACAGGAAATCCTGAAGACAAAGAAAACATGTCGTACCTCATTGACTGGGCAATCGATTTTACTTATTTCTTCTTGCGAAATGCATTCTACATTGATCTAGTTCACAAGAAAGATTCTGCTCTTATGTTTAATGTCCCACAAGGTAAATATATATTTAATTTTAAAATTTTATTATTAATTAATATTAACAAATAATTACATTTATAACAGAGTTTATGAATGTAGAGGTTTCAAGTTATTATCCATTATATTATTTAGAAAACAAACCACCAAAACCATTCTCTTTTCCATTTGTATGTTTATATAAACCTACCCAACCAATGATAATAATCTATAATTCATATTAACAAATGTTTTTATTTTTACACACATTTATATATATATATATAGATAAGTTTACTTTATGATATTAATGTTTTATTGGCTTTGTTTGAGTTGTTAAACTTATCAAAAGCATTCAAAGAGAAATACTCTGTTCAAAGTAACAAAGTCAGGTTTAAAGTATCCGATGCCAAATTATTATTGGATATATTTGGTCCATTATTGAATGATCTTTGTGTGAAGCTTGTAGATCGTAAGTTTTAACAATAGATGTAGTACGACATTGATCTATTTTAAACAACTAATATTTATTTATTATTATCATTGATATTAATTAATTATTTAGCTTATGATGTAAAAGATGTTCAAACCTTTATTAAAGACAATTATATGTCTATTGTAACATCACAAAATCCAATGCCAAATATACCGATCTACAAATCGTTTACCTCTGACCGACTACAAACCTATACTGAAGAGATGCTACAACTAGTCAAACAGTACATTCCACAGAGTATCAACAAAGATATCAATGAGATTTCAATGACCAATACATTCACTATTCTTGACTTGGACCCACCACTCGATGGATTCTTGGATCAGAATCCAATTACAACTATCGCCACTACAACTGCAGCAGCGGCAGTTACAGCTTCTACTGCCAATACAACAGTACCACCAAACCAACAGAAACAACCAACAACAACAACAACTACTACTACTACTACTACTACTGCTACAAACACTAACATAAATAGTACAACCGGCGAAATTACACCAGTAAGCTTTAAATATGCTCCAAAATGTTCAGACTACATCAATATGGTTTATGACATAATTACACGTATTCCAATTCCAACCAGAATAGAAAAACCAATCAAGAAATGTACTAGATGTCATAGAATGACCATACTTAGAAGGACTACCTCGTTGTTCTGGTCAGATAGATGGTCTTTGGCATGCCCTCTTTGTGGTGGAAAATGGAAGATATACAATGAGAATGTTTACATTCAACAGATTTTACATCAACAAAAACTATTACAGCAACAGCAACAACAAAAATTTTACAACAACAACAGCAACCTGTTCAACAGCCGATTTAAAATAGATCACTTAATAAATTAATTTTATTGCAATGACATTTGTAAATTTATTTTTTTTAAAGTAGTTTGTATTGTGCCAATCAAGAACCTTGCCTTATTATATTAACAAAAGTAATTGGAAACTATCTAGAGATCTAGATTTAAATAAATATTGGAGTTTAAAGTAGATCCAAGATTTAATCTAATTAAGCCCTTCAATCTAAGTAGTTCAACATCATTATTAGATTGGTTTAAAGTGCTACCAATTTGATTTGAAAATAATTGGTGATTATTTGAAGATTGACCTTTGAAAGATCCAAGTTTTGAAATTGATGCTAAATTAAAAAAAAAAATAATGTTAATAAATTATTTGTAAAATAATTTTGTTTTTTTAGAAATATCTTACAAATTAGAGTCATTTTTTTATAATATAAATAAATCATTTCCTAAAGCAGTATTTATAATCTCCGATTATACCTCGAGTAAAAAATTATCATTTACATACTGCGAATAATAAACTTTATCAGATTTTCATACCCCGGATTTTATTTTTTTTGGCATGTGGCAACTGAATATATAGATACTATTAAGTTCTATGACATAGAAAACTTTGATAGGTGAATTTTATTATTCCTATTTTTAATAGGAAATAAAAAGAATAATAAATATGTAATTTTTGGAAAATTTTGGAAAAAATTATTTATTTTTATTTATATTAGTTTCATAAAATATTGTTTTATTTTTCTTTCAATTTACTAAAAATATAAAATGATAATTCCGAATATCTATGACCCAACGACTTGTATGGAACTAAAATCCAAAAATATGAAAAACCTTCTCTTTAACTATTCCATTAACAATAAACAACTTTCAAAACAAAGAATCTTTGGAAAATTCTTCAAAAAAAATATACAAAATGTTGGAAATTAAATTATGTTTCAAATAGGAATAAAATAGTTCGAAGTAGAATTGTAAAGAAAATAAAATAAAATTATACAAAGATTAACAATTCAATTTCTAATTTGTTTTAACGATTCTTAAAGCTTCTATGTCTTGAATAACAAAACTATTTACTCAAATAAATAAAAATAAGTGATTAAAAGACAAAAAATGAAATTTGATATCGAATTCTATTGAATTTTAAATGATAAAAAAAGTGTCAATATAAAAAATTACATACAATTTTAGGTCTCCACCATAATGTCATAGAAATAGATTAAAATTTTTTTTTTTTTTTTTTTAAAGTATTCTCATATCTTGAAGAATACTCAAATGGATTTTATTTTTATTTGTTTATTTGCTAATGAGGTGGGATGGCGTTGGGAAGTTCCAGGTTTGGTGGCTCCAGATGAGTTTGAAATCGTCTAGCTTCTTCAGCCATTTTGATTGATATGCTTGAATGTTTGAGTAGTTTCGACCGAAGTCTTGTTTTGATTTTCTGATTAGTTTGTGGTATTCTAGTTTAGCTAGTCTGTTAATGTTGTTAGTTGTTGTGTGATAGAAGGTGGTCGGTGTGCTGGGGGAGTTGTGTGCGAGTTTGCAGTGGAGAATCCAGACCTGGTGTAGTACGATAGCAATAACGTTTTGGTGTAGCTCGTTATTGTTTGTCATCTTGAGGATGTCCAGCTCCCAGTCGAGGGTTTCCCCTGTATATTTGTGTATGATTCGTTTTATGGTAGGTTTGTAGGTGTTAATTATTTTGCATTTGAAGAGGTGGTGCTCGGTGATCTTGATCGGTGGGAGACCTGTGAATACGAATGGTAAGCAGTGCATACAGAAGGTGAGAGTGTCTCGCCCTTTTTGGTCTTTGATCTTGGCTATGGTGGTGAAGGTATCCGGGAGGGAGAATCCTTTGTTGATGAGGATTTCCTGTCCTTTTGTGATTAAAAATTTTAAAAAAATAGATTCACACATGAAAAGCAAGCTTAGGAAAGTGGTTAAATCCGCTAGACTCAAGTTCTAGTCCGCAAGGTTCGGGAGTTCGAATCTCCCAGCTTGCAGAACATTTTAAAACACTATTTACCGCATGCGTACAGACTGTTGAAGAGTTTAGAACCATCGTGAATAATAGTCATGAATATTTCAGTGAACACTCTTTTAGAAATTCCATAGAAATTCCAGAAGACTTTTATTAACGTTCCATCGATGAATCACCAACCAGAGAAGTTCTAGAATTGTTTACCAGGATGAAGTCATCAACCAATCCCGTCCAACCGATGGTAAACCAAGAGTATAAATACCCGAGAGAACTCCTTGTTTCGATATCTCATTTATTAATATCGAATCAAGGTATGTTTAAAGATAATAATAAAGTTATATCTCATTATTAATATCGAATCAAGACCTTTCTACATATCTCTCAATCAACCTTTTGATAAAGAGCAATACTTAAAAAGTTATTCCAATTTTACTTTATTTCAGCTTTAAATAAAGATAAATATTATAACTTATTATATACTCATTTTTAAACTTAAATGTTGTAAAATACAAAAGATATATAAATATTATAATTCATTCTTTATTCTTTAACTTTAATACATGATCTCAGTGAGACAACAAATGACTTTTGGATTGAAATTAATTTAACATATTAAAACCTAATTAAGTTTAAGATTAATAAATCGCTCCTTATAGTAGTAGAGTATTCAGCGTGTTGAAAATTAATATAGAATATTATAAATCTATTGTTTGCAACTCATTCTTTCTAATCTGGGAAATTAAAAATTTTAATTAACAAGATTAGAATTTATTAATTAACAAGGATTAGAATTTTTTTTAAATCCAATTCACCACACTTTTTGGCTTTGGAAGTAATTTACTGTGTTTCTTACAAATTTTAATGATATATATTTTTTAGTAGTAGATCAATTTTACTTATTTTTGTGATTTTCAGAATCTGATTTCATATTTTTTCTATTCTATTTCAGTTCTCAATTTATCTATATCTGGATGAATATCTGGATAAATATATCTAGATAATGGTGTATATTTAATTGTGCCACAGCATCTATCCAAAATAGGAATAAAATTGGAAAATACATTAATCTAATATATTGTCCAAAAAAAGAAATAAAATGTTTATTTTGAATATCCATTTGTATTTTCAAATACGAATAATATTCAAAGAATAAGTATAATTAAATACTTTAAAAAAAGTTAATAAATATTGTAAAGATTTAAGTTTTAACATTATTTGATCTTTAATATATATAGATAATAACATTTATCTTTATATGATTTTAAATATAGAATACTTTAAAAATTATGATAAAGTTAATTGAATCTTTCTGAGTATTGATAAAGAGTACTATCCTAAGGTATAATACCTCAGGTATTACTACTTTTCAAAAGAAGTTTGAGCGGTAGAGCCAGAGATCATGTTCATGATAAGTTCAACGAGATGTATTGGTGTACCAACATGAAGTTGAGGATGGATCCAGGCAATATGGAGTCAATTGCTCTGCATTAACGCTTAAATTTAAATCTGATTGGAATCTAAATCCTTCCTACTACCAATACTCCTAAAGTGCTAAAATATTTATTTGCATTTAAAAAAAATTAAAAAAAAATATGTTTTATATTTAGAATCATATGTAACATTGATTTAATATTTTTTTCAATTTTTAATTAATTTATTAATAGTACATTTTTTTAAATGCACATAAATATTTTAGCACTTTAGGAGTATTGGCAACTACATGCCACTACTTTATACTGTTGTTCATCAACACGCAACTACTGTTAGATCTATTCTATCCTAATACTACTCAACTTATTAATTAATAATAACTAAAAACAATAATAATAATAATAATAATAATAATATTTTATTGGCTATTTCTCACGGCCTGTAGAATGTATATATAATATAAAACTCTAACTAGCAGGTTAATATCAATACCTGCAATTTGTTGACTGATCATGAGTCAACAAATCTTTTTTTAAAAAAAAAAATTAGATCCAAAAGGAATGAAATTAATTTTATAACTTTCGTAATCTTATCTACTCTCAATCTCGTACTGGGATTCCAACAAATAATATGATCAACTGGTGGAGGTTAATTTCAGATTCTTCTATTGTATTTTTCATAAAAATATATTAATCAATATTATCAAAGTGAACCATTCTTGGTAAACCTGAAATTACTGTATTGGAAATAATAACTTTGATTTTAGAAGCACAAGTAATGAAAGTGGAATCTTTGAATTTAGTGTTGTAGAACCGGAACTTACAAGATCACAATTGAATACTATTTTATAAATGAAATAAAATAGTTTTTTTCAATAAAAACTTTCTATTTCAGAGTTTCAAATCAACCTTCAATTTATTTTTATATCACTTAGTTCCTACCAATTTGTAAAGTAAATTCAGAAGATTCAATTATTACTCTTAAAAAAGATAATTAAAACTGGAATAAAAAATAATAACTTTTAGAATCAATTCTGAATTTATCAGAATTCTATGATTGGAATTTCAATCACTATACAACAAACCCTGTGAATATATCAGTTTTATTTCTCAAATTAGAAAGGTAAAAAAATTGATAGATCTTTTATCATTCATAAAGTTCCATTCTTTATTGCGACAGATATTCCTGGTGACTCTATTATCAAAAAGACAAAAATAATAGATTCATGGAAATAAGAAAGGGATTCAAAAACTATTTATTTCCAGATGCAAAATTATTCTCAACAAAAGACGGAAGTTTAATATTTTTTACATCGAATCCAAACAACACAATATCTACTTTGAATGACTGAAGTATCATTTGATCAAATACAATTCAACATTCTTTGACAATTTTTCATGGAATTCTTCAAATTTGATATTGACTATAATGCTAGATCAAAATATTGTAATAAAAATGGAACAAGTTTCGTCTACTGTTAGTGAAAACAATCAAAAATCCAACTTTAATAATTTAAATATTACAACGATTGAATTGATCAATTTTGATCTTTTCAAGGAACTCCCATTGATTCCATTGGTTGGTTGGTGGTTCTATTAAGATATACAATGTTTATTGGAATTATCCGAATAAACAGAGCTATCAATTGAAGGATTCAAGATGAACTGTTTAATTTCAACAATGGCACAAGAAGTTATTGGTTTAAAATACAATTCTAACTTTCAAAAGTTTACAAGACGAAAAACTAAAGCAAAAAAAATCTCAGCAAAGAACACAAATACTATTTGTATAAAAAGAGTATAAATTTAAAAGATTACAATTTTATTTAAAAAAATTTAAAATTTTGTTTAAAAACAATTATATCATTGAAAAAAAAAGGATATCAATTCATTTTTAAAATTATAAATCAATAACATTATTAGAAGAATAATAAACGATTAAGGAATTTCTTTGAGAAATAATACAAAAAAAAAAACTATTTAGACTCTTCTTCATATTCAAAATGTAAAGGTTTTTAACAGATAGAATCGATTTGCAAATCCTTTAAAGAATAACCTTTCTTCATACTATACTCTCCTTGTTTTATTTTAGTTTCATCTGTTAAATTACTTTTCTAAAAACCAATATCATTGTTTTTGTAAAATAAAACAACTAAAATTCAGTCATTAAGTTGAAAGTGGTAGATTCAAATTCAATCTTTACTCGATTTAATTTAATATGGAACTGGATACTTAGACAATCTATCTTAAGCTCTAGATTCCCAGATTTTTTAGAAATTTTAGAGTATGATATAGATCGTCGAATAAAAAATATTGTTTAACTAATTTTAGAATATTCCACAACTGCACAAGACATCTCACTTGTCATCAATAAACTAAAACTCATAATATTAATTTTTTACTTAAAATGCATTCTTAACTAAATTTGATATATAAACAAACCAGTCAGGACCTGAAAGTTTTTTTAAATTGGGTATTCATATATACTAGATGCCATTCATTCTAAACTCAATAGAGCTCTTAAATAATGTTAATAGTGGTGATATGAAATGACACCGGAGTTGTTATCCAATAATATTAGATAATATAGATAATTAACACAATATTGTCTATTCCACTACAATTTTTTCGTAGTTGTTACGAAGTTTTTACATAGTATTCAACTCAATAAATGCAAAAAAAAAAAAATTTGTATGAAAAAGCATACTACGAATGGGATTCGTTATGCCCTTTTTTACACATTAAATTCGTAGTTGTTACGACAATTTATTTTTTAATGAGAAAAAATAACTTTAAAAAGAACACTTGCAACGATTTTATAGATAATCTATATTATAAATGAGAATATTTATTTTTTTGTTAATCATAATTACTATATTAGTATTTATTCAGAAGATAAAGCTTTTAAATGTAAACATACCAATATTGCATTCATAGACATGTCTCGTAGTTGAATCTACTATTGCAAAAGATCGTCAATGCATCATCGATCTCTACAATGTCAGTTTCATTTGTCTTTTGTATCTTTTCACCACCTTGTTTGAATTTGATACTGTTTTCAAATGAATTATTGATTATACTATACAATGTTTGTTATTGTAGCTTCCCACCAAGTGCTATATCGACACCATCTATTTTTTTTTTTTTGTTAGTTCACATTCTAAACATCAATTAAATATACACTGGAATGACATACTATTTGATTTAGCAAAGACTTTTTTGTCCATTTTGGAATAACGATGGGCGAACATCAGATGATCGATTATTCTTCTCTCTCTTTGTGTTGTTTGTCTTTGTTGTATTTCAGAAGTTCGAACGATCGTTGTTGTTCTGTGGTTGTAGTTGCTGTAATTTGAGTTGTTGCTGCTGTTGATGTTGATATTGTTGTTGTTGGTTCGTTGGTCGCATTTGTAGTGTTTGTTGGTTTAGTAGCAATATCTGCTGAGAAAGATATTCGATCTCCATATCTTGACTCTCCAAATAACTAATAAATGGATGATTTAAATTAAAAAAACTATTGTTATAGTAATTATTGTTATTATTGTTATTATTATTATTATTATAATTAATATTGTTATTGCTATAAGTGAAGTTATTGTTATTGTTATTGTTAATGTTACTGTTGACTATCTCAAATTAAATAACTATTGTTTGATATTGCTATCAAATCTGCAAATCGATAATAAATAACTATTAATTGACTATCTTAAATTAAATCTTAAATATTATTATTAATTGACTATCTCAAATTAAATAACTATTGTTTGAAATGATCATTTTTTTTTTTTTTTTTGGTTCGAGTCATCAAAATAAATTTTTAAAATTAATGTGGTAAAAATCTCGACAAATTGTAAAAAAATGATAACCACACTAGCACACCTTAAATTTTTACTATGATCAAAATGCACGTTTCAAAAGTGAAAAACTTTTTTCACACACTGATTTGTGTGGTGCCCATGACAACTACGAAACAATCGCAGTGAACTACCAACATATCAATATACAATTAACCCAATAATTAATATTACAATTCAGATAATTATATTCAACATATAATCCAGCATACAAATCATCCAGATGATTTTATTATATTCAACGAATCAACTATACTACAATTCGGAATAATAATGTAAAATACCAACAAACAACAGATATAAATATCCCAGATAGAGATACAGAAAGACAAGAAAGATAGACAGAAGATCTAACATTAAATTAATAAATAAAACTAAATCTATAAACAAAACTAAATACTTTATTTAATTAATCATATATTATTATTAACTACTATGGACATAAATAACAATAATAATAACAATCAGGAGTACTGTCAATCACTATATGAATCAAAGCCAAACAGATTGAATCAATAATATCAGTAAAAGTTAATAATGATATACACAAACTAATTAATCTTAACAAAAATAGTTTAAACAAAAATCTAATAAAAATTAAATTAAATGAATTAAAGAACGAACGTAAAGTTCAAGATAAAAATATTAATTTTTTGAAAAATAAAATTAATAAAATAAATGTGAAAAATCGTGATCAGTTTAACGAATTAGATCGATTATTAAAAAAACAAAATTTTTCTGTCTGAGATTAAAAAAATTATTGATGACGTAAATAAAGATAATAGGGTTAAAAATAAAAATAATACTGATTTCACGCCCCATTATGCTTGGGTGAATATAAATGAAATCTATGATGATATTTCAAAAGATGTAGATACAGATAATGATAAAAAAATGAATGAATCTGTTACAGATAATATCGACATCGAAAACGAAACAAAAGTTGTAGAAACTTTGAAACGGTTATTCCCAAACGTGTTTATACCGTTTGATGGTTTACCACCTTCAAGAGGTAAACAGTTTGATATGACAATTAAATTAAAAACGGAAGAGATTCCCAAATCAAAGTTATATCCTGTACCAATAGCACACTTAGAAGAATTAAAAAAACAAATTAATGATAGATTGAATAAAGGGTGGATCAAGAGATCTAGATCCCCATTTGGTAGTCCTATCTTATTCGTCTCTAAACCAGACGGTGGATGGAGACTTTGTGTCGACTACAGAGAGCTAAATAAAATTACTGTTCGTGATGATTATCCTCTTCCAAGGATTAATGAATTATTAAATAATACAAGATTAGCTTACTGGCTATCAAAGTTGGATCTGTTAGACGGATACCATCAAATTCGTATCAATGAAGGCGAACAATACAAAACTGCTTTTAAAACTACATTTGGTACATTTGAATATACAGTAACACCGTTCGGGTTAGCCGGAGCAGGTGCTAATTTTCAACGATTAATGGATCACATATTCCAGTTGGAAATTTTAAATATGAAAATATGTGTATATCTAGATGATATATTAATCATGACTAATTCAGATAGTTTAGACGATCATATCAATGATTTGATCGAAATTTTTAAAATTTTACAAAAACATGACTTTAAAGTCAAATTATCGAAATGTAAATTTGCTAGACGAGAAATTGAATTCTTAGGTCATGTAGTTGGTCGTGGAGTAATAAAACCACTTCACAATAAAATAGAATCAATTTTAAATTGGAAAAAACCCGAGAATACACTACAATTTTTTCGTAGTTGTTACGAAGTTTTTACATAGTATTCAACTCAATAAATGCAAAAAAAAAAAAATTTGTATGAAAAAGCATACTACGAATGGGATTCGTTATGCCCTTTTTTACACATTAAATTCGTAGTTGTTACGACAATTTATTTTTTAATGAGAAAAAAAAATGTTAAATAACTTTAAAAAGAACACTTGCAACGATTTTATAGATAATCTATATTATAAATGAGAATATTTATTTTTTTGTTAATCATAATTACTATATTAGTATTTATTCAGAAGATAAAGCTTTTAAATGTAAACATACCAATATTGCATTCATAGACATGTCTCATAGTTGAATCTACTATTGCAAAAGATCGTCAATGCATCATCGATCTCTACAATGTCAGTTTCATTTGTCTTTTGTATCTTTTCACCACCTTGTTTGAATTTGATACTGTTTTCAAATGAATTATTGATTATACTATACAATGTTTGTTATTGTAGCTTCCCACCAAGTGCTATATCGACACCATCTATTTTTTTTTTTTGTTAGTTCACATTCTAAACATCAATTAAATATACACTGGAATGACATACTATTTGATTTAGCAAAGACTTTTTTGTCCATTTTGGAATAACGATGGGCGAACATCAGATGATCGATTATTCTTCTCTCTCTTTGTGTTGTTTGTCTTTGTTGTATTTCAGAAGTTCGAACGATCGTTGTTGTTCTGTGGTTGTAGTTGCTGTAATTTGAGTTGTTGCTGCTGTTGATGTTGATATTGTTGTTGTTGGTTCGTTGGTCGCATTTGTAGTGTTTGTTGGTTTAGTAGCAATATCTGCTGAGAAAGATATTCGATCTCCATATCTTGACTCTCCAAATAACTAATAAATGGATTATTTAAATTAAAAAAACTATTGTTATAGATTATTGTTATTATTGTTATTATTATTATTATTATAATTAATATTGTTATTGCTATAAGTGAAGTTATTGTTATTGTTATTGTTAATGTTACTGTTATTGTTATTGTTACTGTTGACTATCTCAAATTAAATAACTATTGTTTGATATTGCTATCAAATCTGCAAATCGATAATAAATAACTATTAATTGACTATCTTAAATTAAATCTTAAATATTATTATTAATTGACTATCTCAAATTAAATAACTATTGTTTGAAATGATCATTTTTTTTTTTTTTTTTGGTTCGAGTCATCAAAATAAATTTTTAAAATTAATGTGGTAAAAATCTCGACAAATTGTAAAAAAATGATAACCACACTAGCACACCTTAAATTTTTACTATGATCAAAATGCACGTTTCAAAAGTGAAAAACTTTTTTCACACACTGATTTGTGTGGTGCCCATGACAACTACGAAACAATCGTAGTGCATTCTTAATTGCTTATGGTAGAAATCCATCTACTGTCGCTGACTTGGCAATTCCTTTAAATAGAGAACCAAGTGATACAGTGAACGATAATGAGATTGAATCATTATTAAATTATACCTCTACAATCATTATAAATGTTAGAAATAACTTAATTAAGATTAGAAACAAGATGTTGTCTAATTATAATAAAAATAAAAAGTATAATGATTTTAAGATCGGTGATAAAGTGTATGTAAAGGAAAAGAGACCTTCCAAGAAGTGGAACAAATTAGAAGCAGTATACGCTGGTCCCTATGAGATCATCGATATTGACAAACAAAATTTAAATATAACTATAAGAGATTATATCTCTGGAGTTTCAAGAATTAGAACAACGTCTAAAACGTTGCACGTAAAATACTTTAAACACGCTCCAAAGGATGACGTGAACGAGAGAGAATACATTCCAGTAGAAAAATTAGATTCTTTTCTAAATAATGATGAATTAATATCCGATGTAAAAATGTCTGATATCAGTAATGAAGACGAAATCACAGATGAAACTATGGATCAAGACGACGTAGTTAATCATCAAGATGAAATTAATCAAGACGAAGATGATATCTCTGATCTTGAAGATTTAAATGATTTGATGACTGATATATCAAGTATTGATTCGTCATTAGAACCTAAAGGACATTTTTCAGATTTACAGTTATCGAGAATCTTAAATCCTGAAAAAAATACATATCATAAAGTTAGAGAAATTTTAAATAATAATAAATCTAGCCCAAATACATTTATAAATCTTTTAAGAACTTTAGAAGAAAAGGAATCAGTAATAGATTACCCTCACAACAAAGTAACAGAGGAATCTAACCTTTTAATAAATAGTATTATGAAATTTGCAATATCGCCAGAATTATTCGAAATGATTCAGAAAAGATCATTTAAAATAGTATCTAAAAGAAGATTAACTAGTAACACTGATTATTTAGTTAAAATAAGTAATACTGTTGGATGGGTTTCAAGACAAATCCTCGCCAAACATGCATCCAAACAAATCAACGATTTCAACAAGAAAATCGACAACCTCAACCCTGTAGCCAATATTAACAGTTTACTCACTGCGATTG